AGAGTGTCGTATGCTGTACGGACTTTAAAGAACCCTGAGAGACATTTGTGACATTGGGATGTATAGATTCCAATAATTTGCCTTGACCTGAAAAGGTTCTTTTAACGTTTTGGTTTCTACGGTATGAAAAGCAGCAAAGCGAGACCTTTCATATCAGGACTTCCTGTGGGAAATCAAGCTTTCAAGCTCAAACTCGGGGAGCCAAATCAGGTATAATCAACAAAGCCAATCAGGTATAAATCACAAATATGCCTGTAATTACAGAAAAAATGCATTTCATTGACATTGGGCACAAGCTGTAAACAGATCAATCTCACCTGTGCTTCTCCTTCTCTCTGAAGTCAAGGAAAGAGTTTATGACTCTGCGCTGAGAAGAATAAGGCATTGGGGTCACTGACATGGTCTTCTTCAGTCCTTATACAAGGCTTTGTGGAAACTTACCATCTTCTCAGCAGCTGTGTTCTCCACAAACCTAGATCCATGACCTGGACTGCCTGGGCAGTGGACTGTGATCCCTGGAAAGAAGAAGTCATTCAGCTTGATTCACGACTGACTTTTTCATCCTTCTGTAATCCCGTAATCTGTTGGGATGGTGGATTCTTTTTAAGGTATGTATTTATTTATACTCACACCAAGGGTTCCTCTCTCCATAAAACACAGTGTAGGCCTCGCCAGGGTTCGCCAGACCTACAGGAAGAATGACATCCTGAACTAGTGCATATAAATCACTATTATAAGAACAAACTCTGGGGAAAAGGGCCGAGGATGACGGTGTACAAATGAGCAGGAGCGGAATTCTCGACCAATAAGGGTAATTCGGCACTGTCGGTAATGTGTGGATAATCATGATGAAATGATTTTAATGAAATCTAAAAGTATTCCTATAGCAGTTCTGTGATTAAGAACAAACTACATGGATAACCTCTTAAAAGATAACATTTGCATCGCTTTTAAAGGAAACATCATTACGGGTCGAGATGCTCACCATGACCTGCAATGTTCCCAGTCAAGTCTAGTTGCGGAACTCTCTACCTTATTTGCTAAAGCAAATATGAAAAGATACATATGGTTATATGGTGCTATCACCCAGCGCTGGTTTAATCAGTATTTATACTTGATGTCTGACAAGATGTTTAATTTGGAAATGAAATCAACGATTCCTCGACATGAAGGGATGTTTCCTTTCTCTGAGATCGTTCAACCAATCAGTCTTTAAAAAGTTAAAAGAAAGGATGAATTAAACTAAACTTTGTTTGCACTTGTTAACTTACTATAACCAGAGACTTACTGGTACTTACACTTACATCTGTGTTGTTGCCACAGTAACCTGTGGAGTAATATAGAGTATGTTGCATGGAGTGATGATTATAATAGTGGCAGGAATGTTTGAGGTGGTATAAACTCTATAATCTAAGCTGGTTTCAACTTTTTAAGCCACTAAGTGACCTTCAGTATTCATTTCCTTAAAGATTGACTTTAAGATTAACTGAATGTTAAAAACATGTATTTATTTACCTTCATCAAGCGCAAAGCCAATGTTTAATTTTTGGAACTCCAGATGCTTAACAAATGTTTCCATTCCCTTGTGACCTCCCACTTCTTCATCTAAAAAAAGAAGAAGATTATTACATGTTAATTTGCTAAAATATTCATAGATGGCGAGGTTACAGTTTTGTCGACATTCCTGAGATATAACATTTATGAGAATATATTATTTATAATTAGAGTAGATATATATTTCTATCGGTGACATCCATTATCACACTACCAGGCAAACAAACAGTAGTTTTGCTCTCATTAGATGATTAGTCTATATAATATATATACTGTAGATAGAAATTTAGCATAACCGACTTAACAGGTGTAAAAATGCTACAAGGAGTAGGAGGAAGATGCTTATCAAGAACATTCTGAACACGACTCCACCGTGTTCACTAAAGAAGTGTAATCCACTAATTTAAGAAAAAGCCCCTGTGTGGCAGGACTGAAGGTGTGCGAATGCTTTGACAATAAACTACAAATACAGGAGGCTGGCAATTGAATATCTTACCGGGAACAAACATCAAGTGCACAGTGCGCATCAGTTTCCGTCCCTCTGCCTTCAGCCTTTTGATGGCCTGGATGTACCTGCAGTGGACAAACGAAAACACTGCAGAGTTATGACACAGCTAAGAAATGCAATCTGGAGTGACAGTATTCAGGTTGAGGGAGTGGGTGTTAAAAACAGTTGTTCTCACTGAACGTGACTAAATGGATAACAAAACAACTCCTAGACAAATCCTGTGCATTTAAACAAGTTATCAAGTCAGTTTATACCCACTGTATAGTTACACATTTCATGTCCTGTGATCCCCGGGCAAAAATGTTGCCCTCTGCATCTTTGAAAGCACTGAAAGCATCGTATTTCCAATGTTCCTGGAGAAGAGATTGATATCAAATCCATTTTTTGCATGTCTATTACAGAAAATAACAAGATGGTAACGCCATAAACCAAGAAAGATGCCATACCTGGTAAACAGGTACGACGTCCGTGTGGGAATTCAGTAAAATGGACTTCAGGGTTGGGTTCGTCCCTTCCCATGTCATGATCGTCACAACTCTGCCTGGACATGCCTTCAGGGACAGAGAACGACACAAAAAGTATTACCCATTTTTGTACTGTTTTCAAATCCTGTCAACAAATGCTACGTGAATTACTTTATTATATTACACGCCGACACACACCTCAATCTTTCTCATAGGCAGCTCAAGCTCCTCTGCCATTCTGTCCAAGAAACGAAGAGCAGCATCTATAAATGAATAAACAGATAGCAGAACAATCTGATTAAATATTAACATTTGTGTAAAAAAAAAACCTCTCAGAACAGAAGGCAGTCATAACCCGTGCTGCTGCCAGCTGTGGCAGTAATATTGGACTCTGGCACAGTCAGAGTGAACCGAAAGCTTTCTCTTACCACCCCTCTTTTCAGATTCCCAGTTTCTTTTCTATGAAGCTAAATAAATACAGGTTACGTATTGAAATGCTAAATAAAGGGAGAAAAATACAGACCCCCCTAAATGTGTCTAATTCCAGTTGCAGTGTATGTGAATAATTAGCCGACAGGAAGTAAACATGGCCCCAAGCTGTTGCCTAGCAACTGAATGTACATGTATCAAAATGGGTTTTAGAGAGAAAGTGAATAAAGGTATATTTAGTAATATATATTAAAAGGATGTAATTATGTTGTAGTAGATAGTAGAAATCCAAAATACAACTAAGAACGTGGAAATGAATATATCCCCTTTAATATCTAACTGACAAAGATAAGGATTGGACTTTGATAAGATCATAGAAAGTGATACACGTGATTTAAACATGACAACAAAACAACTGAGAGTGCGTTAAGTGATATAATGATGAATAGTCCAAACTGCAACAAGATTTCGAGAAAACTATGATCCAACAAATAGATAGCATAACTTCCCAAAGGGCGTGGCTTAACAGCAGCGCGTTGTCATGACGACATCTCACCGTAATCCGGGTCTGGGTGAACCGTTTTAACGCGCAGGTACTCTCTGAACAGACTCACGGAGGGATCCTCGCCCCCGGGGGGGCTGTGTCCGCCTCCAACACATTCACCGTCCTTGTCAGGCAGCATGGTGTTATTATTTACCCCTCCTGACGACACACGGAATTAAAAAAAATAATTAAAATATAAACACAACGACACCCTACAACAAATATAGTGAAACACATGCAAGGACCGAGGGAGAAATGTGGCTTCATTGCGTCCTTTATGAGTCAGAGTGAGCTCCAAAAGGAGAAACCAGCTGACGTTAGCCAGCCGCGTATCTGCAGTCTCATTCACCGGGCCACGAGCCTGTGGCATTAACGGGGCTGTCGTCATCTGATGCGAAGGGATGAGGACTATTTCCTCCGCTTTTTTTTGCTATAACAGCTAGCTAGCCTCGTAGCTGGTTGACTTATTCTCTCTTTACTAGTTGTAAATTATGCCATGCTTGCGCTTTTAAGATAGTGAACAGGCCAAACCTTCTCGATGTAAAACGTGGATTACAGGGCGGCAAATGACGTGGATTTACAAATCATTTTAGATTAAAGTTATCTCAATACTCACAGTGTCACTGTGCGCCGTCGCGTGCAGCTCACTCGTCGTCTGTCGGCTGCGTACTGAGCCCGTTCTAGGCCTTCAAAATAAAAGACCTGTCACCGGAATCACACCCATACCTATAGTATATTTGACACAAAAGTAAACGTATAGTTACACTTTAGGCAGTGTATCTCAGGAAGGTGTTGACTCTTGCATTTTCATTATTTCAAATAACCCCCAATACAAGTGGATCACCTTCTATATTCTCTAGTACTTTGTCTCCATAGAAACTATTTCACCCTCATGATTTTATTGGCTTCACATAAACGCAAACACACTCAAAGAAACACGTCTGTTTTGATATCTTGGGTGTTTTGTTGGATCGATTGGGGTCAAATTTGGCCAAACTGTGAGAGAAGCCAGTGGGGGGGCGGGTAGGGGCACTACCAGAAGAATCGACACGGCAAAAAGTGCTTTAACTAATTCCCGAGTAAGGGGACTAAAAATTTGTGTTAATGCAGTATATCAGGCTTTTCTTTATAATGAATTGCTGTTTGTCATTATGGGGTATTAAGTATAGATCGATGAGTGCAAAACTAATTGAAATTATTTCAAACAGCAGCATAGTTCATTGTGAAGAAAAGTGTCTCACACTGTGTGATTATTGTGCTGACTGTGGGTGAGGAGGAGAGATCAGGACACAGGCTCTGCTGGGCCCTGATGACAATCTCCTAGCAACCTGCTCCCATGTCAATAGACAGTCAAAGTAAGCTGATAACTGTCCACGGGGACCTACTTACATCAACAAACACAAATTAGTCAAATTTGCGGTATAATAACAATCAAATTCTATAAATACAACAAAGTAACCTAGTTTCCAAAATATGGTATTTTATCAAATGAGACTCAAAAAACATTTGTAGTTTTATTTTATATGCACATCTTATTTAAGTTGTTTTTTGGCATGATTGTCCAAACTTATTGCAGATACTTTACATACAACCTCATCAATATATATAAATAAATGTGAGCAGTTTCTTAAAAATCTTGAATCACTGCAGTTTCTTTTTGTCCGACATGTTTTTTTGGAAGCTGTAATGGTTTTTAGGTTGTAATAAATAAATATTTTGTTAAATGTGAAGCTATTCAAACACAGTCACCGGACACATTTGCATATTTACAGCAACCTACAGAAAAGGTAACTGAAGCAGAAACACTTCCATCTGTGTTTTTTACATGCAAAGAGAGACATGAAGCACGTGAAGCACAATACAAATCTGAAACTATTTTAACAACAAGCGGTGGTGAACTAGTCTTTTTGGACAAATCAAAAATAATACTTTTGGAATGGGACATCTGAACTACTGTGGTGTCAAAGATCACTACTAGGTTTTACAGGCTATTTCCATGGATTAAAACCTAATCCCATGCCAATGTCCTTGCTTTAGGGGATAACATGAGAATTATGTAGCTCTTAGAAACCTCTCAATTGTCACAACACTAAACCATTAATTAGGAGACGAGTGTTCCGCTGACTATTTCCTCTTCTTTCTTTTGTTTCCATCTTTCCACTTATTCTTCCTCCACCACACATCTCACTTCAGTTTGCTGAGAAAGTCAATCAGGCCTTGGTGAAATTCTCTGGGTTTGTCCATGTAACAAGCATGCCGAGCTCCTTCTAGCTTAAGCACAAAGTGATTAGGAAGTTGTATGAGGTTCTTGTGGGACTGGGCACCCAGATTTGTGTCCATGGCTCCAAACACAATTAGAGTGGGAACCTAAAAAGAGCAGAGGGGAGTGAGAGAACTATAAATGTTAAACATGTTTTAACACCACTATCATGATACAGCTGTGTAAGATATTCAAAACCATTTGTCAAACGGGGTTATGCAACTGTCACTTGTATACCTATTGCATAAAACTTTTTATGTTATATAGTAAACAGAATATATTTGCTAGGTACATAAAATAAGCAATGAGAATGTCTAACAGGAAATATAGTTGCATCTGTTGTGTTTGAAAATATAAACACACACAATCTTCACCGGTTTACCTCCCTCACCTGAATGTTTTGATACTGCTGTGGAGTGTAACTTCGTGTACCGACTGGTGCTATGGGAATAAAGCCTTGTAGCTGAGCATTGTTCTTCATGAGGAAGGGGATGGAGTAATGTCCACTCATCGAGGGGCTCAGCAGCACGGCTGATCGGACACCCAAAGACTCCATGAATCTAGAAAGGAGATCCACTCTGTTCTGATCAGTCTTCAAAGCTTCAGAGTCTGGTGATTTTCCGTAACCTCAGAGAACGAAAGAACAAATATGAAACGTGTGGGTGCTCAGATAAACATTGATTGACACAAGTGTGTTCATTAGTGTATCACGTAATAGTGTGACCATAATGTGTATTCTGTTTGAAGCTATATTGTCATTACAATCATCAAATCTGTAGAAATGTGCAATAAAAGTAAGTTCTACCTGGAAGGTCCATGGCTAAGGCCTGATATCCATTAGTTGCGAGTAGGGCCATCGTCCCGAGCTCCTCCCAGGTTTTGGATGTGAAGGCCTGGCCATGCAGAAGGACCACTTGCAGCCTGCATGGAGAAAAACACAAGATTTTAGCCAAAGGCCAGACAATTACCCTATTTTTGAGCTGCAGATTAGCAGTGTTTGTATACACAAAAATATTTACTATATCATCCTCACTCACTGGTTATGATTACAATGCATGTCATGTGCTCATTGTTTTAAATAGGTTGTCACTTGTCACCTTGGCAATATCTGTCGTCCAGCTCCATCGACAGGCAAAGCTTCTCTGAAGAAGAGTGGAGGGTCCCCGGGTAGCTGTCCGGTGCGAATGGACACATTGATGGTAGGAATGGGAGGAGGAGGGGTGCCCATCAGACCCATTCTTTGAGCTTCTAGGGATGGCTCCATGCTGCCCTGGCGAATGGATGGCAGCAGCAGGTACAGCAGCAACGTGGCCAACAACACTAAGCCCAGAACAACAAGACGATTCCGCAAGAAATTCATCTCGTCGAGATAAACGATCTGGGAAAAGAGAGAGAGAGCATTGTGTCGTACACACTGCCATGCACAGTGTGTACTGGAACTGCAATCCCCATCAACCAGAGCTATTGTAGTCCAACCTATGGTTTTCTACTCACACTCTTTGATTTACAAATTATTTTACAGTGACTGTCTTAACTGCATTGTTGATATGAGGAACAAGAGCACACGCTGCGTGTGCGCATTACACAAATGTTGACATACCTGCACATGCAAACCATTGACTGGAGTAAAAGTACAACACGTAGGATGGCCTAATATTAAAAAATGTATTTTTTTTACATTTATTTCTGGAGGTGAAAGTGCCGTTAAAGAAAGTAAGTCGACAAGTAATACGTTATGGGAAAGCCGAACCCCGTGTGGGGTGAAGGACAGAAGTTCTGTATTGCAGAACAAATGAGGTGAGCTGAAGAATGTCAATTAGCTCCAATAAGCACATAAGCTAACATTTGCCGAGCGTTAAACGTCGCAGGAGACATCACCAGAAGATGACCTACCAACACAGAGGAGACACTTGTTAGACACGTTCACTGACGGGAGGACGAGGCTGTCTGCTTTACGGTCATGTCTTCTGCATTGCTGGTTGCTGCCAGTGATGGGAAATCTTGCAGAACGGCTTCGGGTCGATGCTGGTGTTAACGTTAGCTAACGTTAGCTAACGTTAGCTTCGGTGACTGAGACAAGCAATTCCTAGCTTGACGCTAGCTATAACGTTTCATTATTTTACTGAAAGGAAACGACGAACCAGCGTTCTTTGTATAGAAAATGTCGAATTAATTATTTAGTAAAAATGGACAGGTGATGTCACGCGAAAAAAGACCAGCGATGCATAATAATTCTGATGAATTGGTCTATTTTACATAAACGGTTTAAATCGTTTGTTCCATGTCGGAGCACGTTTCGAGCGGCGCATAACAACACTAAGTAGTGTACGTCATTTCCGGTTAGGGCTAGAGGAAACGTTTTTTCTCAACCTGCTTTAGATTTTTATTTAGAAAGTAACTAATTAATACCAGAAATATTCAAACTCCAAATCACACGTCTCTTTTACTATCAACCTTGATACCTTGTAACTTTTCAAAGCAATATACACTGTGAACACTGTGCCATCATACAGGTTTGTCTCTCAAAGATGATATTTGTTGCGTTCCATTTTCTTTAATGGGTTCCTTGATGTCAACTTGGGTTATATCTGGTATTCTTGATTGTAAAGAAAATACAACACTTTAATCAGTAAGTCAGAAGTATATTTGACCACATCCATTTCCAGTTTTTACAATATTTTAGCACAAAGTGGAAACACGCCACGTTGAATGAATTAAATCTCAGGAGACTATTAGTCTCTAGAAAATACCAGAATCAGAAAAACTATATTTAAATTCATTTTAAAAGAATTAAATTATCTAATGTAAAAGGGAATACAAAACCTTTACATGTTTACAGCTTTAGTTTCAAATAATAACAATGAATATGTTTTGGACAAAAAAAGGCTTGCAAGATAATGAACATGAAAGATGCCTCTAAAACAGAGGAGTGGTACAAAAGTAAATTCTAAGATTACGTAAATTCTAGATTCATAGTTTTACAATTGGTATCAGTTTACCTTCGAGGAAGCCATTGATTTCAGAAGCACTTCTTTTAGAAAAAAAAATTCACAGTCAAACAAATCTCAAACATGAACAAAAGCTGGAGCCACCTCAACAAAAGAAGTTAAAGTGCAGGATCAAAAAAAGATTGCAGCATAATTAAAACATTTTATCTCAACACTATTTGTAAAATGCTCAATTTTTCAGTTCATAACAAACATAACTAACTTTGGGTAGTTTAATACTTTTCTGAGCAGTGCCAAAGAGAATAAATACAGAACCTACAGTATAAATATGGAACTGAAAAATATATTTATTTTTGTCAAAGAACTATTTGGAAGATTTACCTACGTTAGTTGCTCACAAGCCAGCGACCCACAAAATGAAAAAAAAATGTGTATAATACCAGAGCAATGCTGGTTTTCTGAGGCTAATAATAATGGATATTTGAGAGTTCAAAGCAAATCTGGCATAGGAATCTCATAGCAGCCAAATTCTTTAATCGTAAACACAAACGAACAGATCCCATACATTGCATGAAGTGAATGAAAAAATGTATAACAGATTTTAATAATTTTGGTATTTATATAAAAAAATAAGTCTTGACAGTTAGCCACAAATGCAGCAATACAATTATATATAAAAACAATCGTACATTTGCCATGAAGAGTTGGAATCTAATTGTGTACATCCTGCTGTACTTCTTTGGGAAATCGGACAGTATCTGCCAGTACAGCAGGTTCCTTGTTCTGACATTCCCAGGATGTTGAAATCTTGCCTTTTTAACCATGTTAATTAAAACAACACAATTTGCAAGATAAATAAGTCACATTTTTGGGAGCCACCCAGAAGATAAAGCAGATTCTCCACTAATCGGAGGACTGTTGGATACCTGGCTCCTAGAGTCCGCAGGTTGAAATGTTTTGGCGCGAGAGGCCGAACTCCACATTTTGTGCAGTCTGGGAATTCAGTACCATTGGTGTGTGTGTGTGTGAGAGAGAGAGAGTGTGAGACAGAATCCAGATGAGCCTGTCATTGGTGTTTGAATGTGTGTAAACCACGTTGACTGGACGAAAGACGCTATGGAAGTCTATTTATGGTCGGTACACCCATTCTTCTGTACCTTGCTTTTCCTCTATGAATCAAACGGGTCAATATAAAGCACTGGTACCAGCAGTGGGCTGAGACAAACAACTGCTGTTAAAACCTCAATAGTCAAAAGTTGTTTAAAAATAAGGCACCCACGAAAAAGAGCACTTTGTAGTCACAGCGCATCTAAGGCACCATTTCTAACCAAGGCATTCCAGTTGTTTCTGTGTCGTTTCTTTAAGCCCAAACCAAAGATATTTGAGGCTACATTTCTCATAAACGATCACCTTCTGGCATAATGCACGGCCACAACGCAGGCATATGAATTTCATTCGTAAGGCTAACACACAACAGCTCCATCAATCAACAGATAGAAACTGTAGCGTGAGTGTTATTTTTTTCATTATGTATTTTATCCTCTGTGGGAAAAGCTCCACAATTACACCATAGTACCATTGGAGTATGGAAATCTGACACAATGTCATATAAATTAATCTCAGATGACAACGCATCAGCATTTAGCACCATCACTAGCGCACTGTAAATTACTACCTATTGTTAAAAAGTCGGATTTATCTTTTTCAGGACTGGCAGAAGCAGTGAATAGTTTTGGACTTCTCAGTTTCCCCTCAGTGTATCAGTGTGAGAAGTCCTAGTGGGAGTAAAAAGCAAAGAGGCCAGGTCCCTAAGACAGAGGAGGCTCTATTCTGCCCTTTTTCTTTCTCAGCACAAGTCTCACCCCTGTACCCATTGTAGCATTGGCACTTAAAGTGTGTATGGAAAAACGCCAGCTCGGCGTGGCTAGGCACGCCTGTAACTGTCAGCCGGCCACCCTGACTGGTGATGCTGTGTGTCAAGGGGCTGAGATGCAGGTACACGTCCTTGTCTTGGACTTTGCGCTGACAGCGGCCGTGGAGGTTGCACAGCAGGCGACTGCACTGTTTTGCCGCCGTGGACACATTGAGGAGGTACCGGCCAAGATCTCCCTCAATGTAATTATTCAGGCTGTGGCAGTTTGCCTGCAGGCACCAAAACAAAAAGGACGTTAACCAAAAATCCAATGAACACTTGGTTATTCCGTATTAAACGAGCACAGAGGGTGTAACGCTTACGTGGCTGCTTGCGTAGGAGGTGTCACCCCAGAAGATTACACCCGCAGCTCCGAGTGCAACGCTCTCTCCGATGGTGGAGACCAGATCTGTCTACAACATTTTTACAACAGTTCAGGGATCAAACATAATAACTGGACTTCTCAAACATAATGAATGTCGTTGATGTATTGTTTACTAACCTGAGTAAGGAGGGTCATCTCATTGATGTAAGTAGGACGGGTGTAAACAAAAACAGGCCGCGCTGATCCCTTCCCAACAGCTGCGAGGCGCATTGCTTCTTTTACCCTGTTTCGGACAAACAGGCGTCCGCCGTTCGCAGAGGCCAAACCGGAACCAATGTATATCGATGGGAAGAGGGCTGTGCATTCCGTCCACAGCCAGTTCAGTTGATCATTGCGTTTGATCTCCTTGTCTGGACAGTGGCCGGTGTAGTTCTTCAAGCCACTCTTGTAGTCGTGGTTGTAACAGTCGGGAAACAGGTAGAAGCCCCACAGTTGGTTGGGCCTCGAGTTCTTGGCGAACTTAAGAGTATCCAGCATGAACTTGCGAGCCGTCAGCTCAAATTCTTGCTCTGCAACTTTTTCCACTTGTTCCGGGGTCCACTTAGGATTCTTGCTGGCCACCATTTCACGAGATTTATTTCGATAGATGGCTTTAGTATCCCAATTTCGGATCCACAATGGACGCCACTCCTCCCAATCGATTACAGCCAGGCCTTTTGCATCTAACCGACGTATATATTTCTGCAGACCTTCAGGCATCTTTTTAAAGTGCTGAGTGAGGCTGGCGAGCTGCGGAAGGCCTCCATTCACTGCAGTGCCTCCATGCTGATAAAAGGGATACAAGCCAAGGCGCTCCTTGTAAAAGATGGTGAGGTTCTGGCCGACAAAGCCCTCGTTGGGGGATGCCACGATGTCAAACTGGTTCAAAGATAAAGTTACGCGATGCCGCGGGGCACACTCCTGAGTCGGGGCATTCCAGGCAAGAAGGACCGGCATCTGGGAGAATAACGGCCATCTCGTCTGCTTTAGATCTGCTGAACACAAGGCTGTCCACGATGTTAGCAGAGTCAGAAGCAACCACGGGCAGCTGGCCAGCTGTGCTGAAGAGAGAGTGAAATACAGCCTCCAATGGTCACTGCACAGCGCTTTCTCTTAAGAAAAAAAAAAAGGCAGTTTTGTTAATGAATAAACCATTCCAAATATTATATTTACAGATGTGGTGTCTCCAAATCTGTGAAAATATATGAGGTTTAGGTCCCCTGTAATGTTAATGTCTTGAGCAACGTGGTTTCACAGGTTGACTTTTAGTGAGAATATCAAACATTTAAAAAGTTACAGGTTCAAAAGTAACATCACCTTAAATACGTCCACGGTGACATTCAATATAATACTGCGGTCAACTCGGCAGACACTGGAATTTTAGTGCACGTAATATGCGGACATTTACATTAATAAAAGTTATTTAATCAAAGATTCTGGACAATGACTGAAGTATGTGTGTTCAGGACCATTCTGACTATTACTGTTAAAAACAGATAATTATCCAAAGTAAAAGCCCCATATTTGCTAGTTCAATTGGACCATTTCTCAATATTTGAACTGCAATAAAAAAAAACACATTTCTCAATAATTCCAGACAAAGACCAATACATATGTGTTAAGGACCTCTCTGACTATGCTGCTGAATATAAAGTATTTTTACTGTACAAATTTAGAGATTTCTCCAAAGTAAAAGCACCATATTAGCAAGTTCAAAAAGACGCAAGTATGTTTTTGAACATATAACGTTACTTATGGGATTTCTATTTTGGAGAAAAATTGTCTAGTAAAATGACTTCATTTTGAGTAGTCAGAGAGGTCCTTAACACAAGTACATTGGTCTTTGTCTGTAATTATTGAGAAAAGTATTTTACTGCAGTTCAAACGTTGAGAAATTACATTTTTAAACGTTGGATAATTCTCTAAATTTGTAAAGTAAAAATATTTCACTTTTGTACAAGACTAGGCAGAGAGGTCCTGTACACATACTTCTATCATTGTCCGGAATGTGTTCTTTAAATAGCCTTTGTTCCGGTAAGATCCAAGTGTCTGCTGACCGCGTTAATATAATAAACTAATTGACAGTTAACTTTACACGAGTCATTTTTCTTGGGAAATTCGTAATCAAATTAATGTAGTTACGGAAAGATTTTAAGTTAAAGCAAAAAGGCAGACATTTAACTGCAGGTTAAACCTTTCACGGATTTATTTAAAACTTCATCCGTACACGAACTCAGTTATTTTGCCAAACCCACCGCTAACGTTAGCTCTCAGTTAAATTGTAGGTAACACGTTAGCTAACATTCTCTTTCTTCCTCCAGCCCAGTCTGAGCTGAACTGAGGACACACGTTTTTTTCCACACATGTAACCATCAGATATACTACTTTCCCACCAACCTGCCATGAGAAAGACAGAAGTCAGAGTGCTTTTAATCCATGTTGATAATTTATAAATGTGCTAGCTAGCGGATGGAAATGAAGTAAGGAGCGACGATGACGTTGAGCAATAACAGTCCAGTCCATTGAGTTCCTGAACAAGGCGTGCTTTCACTCGTGAGAAGCGTATCACTTGTCTTAGTCTGCCGTTTTTAATCAATACATCATGAATATTTAACGTAGAAAACTAATATTCTACCCATCACGCCTGCTTTCGAAACCTATGCGGCATTAACCTGAGTTTAAAGTTATATTCCAATGGCGCTGACCCCTTTACGAAATGCCGAAGTAGACTATTCCTCCAGTGATCCTCAGAATTGGTTGCAGAGGGAAGTTTCGACGGTGAGCGCAAATGTGAGGCAAATTCCACGTTGCATTGTTTGATGGTTGTGATATTGTTCCAATTTAAACTACATCCTAGTTGCTACAGGGTTAACAGTTGGAATCCAACCTTAGTGAATCACGGATGAACACGACATATAGGCATACCTAGGCTATTTCTTTTTATTCAACGACAACGGCATTCTCCTCAATCCGGTTGAACAGATTTTGTTTGAATGTTTTGTGACCAAAAGAGCCCCAATGGCTGAATTGAACTGTAAATAGTTTGGCTCACAACTGTATCTCCAGGTCACTTGCATCTTTTCTGAGAGTAAATTTCTGAGAGTGCATGATTTTAGTATTACAAAGTTGATAATGGCAGTTGAATCAAATTGCAACTGTTTAGGGGAAATATATATATATATATATATATATATATATATATATATATATATATATATATATGAATACATACAATGAATACAGATTTGTCATTTCATTCTAGCAATTCATGATAATAAAAAAATGTCTCTTACCAGAAATGTTTTCTCCTCTAATATTCTATTATTACGTCTGTGGGTCTCAACCAAAGGAGCAGACAAATGCAGTTGTTCATTCTGCGGTGAAAGTGACCACACAAGGGTATTTAAATATCCAGCAGACTCCTCCTCTAGTTGGGAATTTCATTAACGGGCTTCTGTCTGGGACGGTCAAAGGTCAGCCCATCCATTGAGGCAGATTCAGCTCTACTCTTCTCCTAGAACAGCTGTTGGATGTCAATGATGGGGCAATTATTTCAGGCTTTGTAGCCTTAAGTTCAAATTTAGCCTTGCAAAGCATCCAAACCCGTGAATAGCTTAAAATAAATTTAGAAGCCATTATGAAGAATTTCATTAAAAAAAACCAATTGCACCATTATGAATAATTTAGCATTTCTCTTCTTTTTTTTAGCTACATGCTTGCGCGAGTATCAACAGTTCGGGCCCATCTGCTTCTGTTAGCCAATACTAAAGGATTAGTGTGTGCCAGGTTCTTACCATATACCGTCTGTAAACACAAGTTAAAGTGAAATCCAACAAATGGTTCTGTATGTAGATGTCATGCCACATGTTTAAGTTCTTACATAAAAGCCTTCATAATATCTATAGAAGTTATTACCACAGGGCTGCACAGCAAGATGCTTCACTACTTGTCTCAAGTTTCATGAAAAACCTTTTTTCAATGAATTATCTCAGCAATCTCAATCATTTCTAAGACCTCCGTTTGGCAAAGAGAACACAAAGTGCTTTCATACCACGATAGACCTCAAAAGAGAATACGGAGATGGTTACGGTGAGGGGTTTCTATGAACAATATCTTACTTTAATTCGTCCTACATGCTCTTGAGACTTTTATAAGCAACGGATTGGTAGTTTGCGGAGTCAAATCTTTTCTTTTAACCTCAATACTGCAATTAAGCTCATGGCCTTGCATATTATTACAACTTTGTTAAAGTAAACAAAAATAAAGTTATTGTACTGCCACGTCTCCCCCACACGGAGCTGAAAAAGATGCCAGAGAATTCAAAACAGCAGACTTATGTAGAGCAAAATCATTTCATGGAAGCAATAAAGGGGAGTGGATTTTGGCAAAGGCCTCTTTATCCTCTGAGAACAAGATCCCTGACAGCTTTATAGGAAACCCTTTCCCATGAGGACTGCATTACCTGTAACCCTCTCTAACCCTGCCCTCACTCGCCCCAACAATGGCACGACGTTACAATTTCCTGTGCAAGTGGCTAATTTCATCACAGCTGAAGGTTTAGGGGCATTATGTCCACTAGATACTTTAGTAACATTTCCCAAAAAGCTGATTTCTGCCTGTTGGTAATTGGACAAATATGTTCATAAGCCTAAATCATTTTTTAAAAACTGGATCCCACCACAGTAGGCTCTTTGATGTTGACCCCTTGTGGAAAAGAGAACAATACACCTTAATTTGCTGTTCAACTGCATTGACGTAAAACAAAAAACAAACAAAAAAATATATATATATATATATATATATATATATGTATGTATAAGAATAAGGACCACGACGCAGTTGAACATTTGATATTGTTATTAAAAAAAACAGTTAGAATAAATTAAAAGTGAAAGATGGTACGACAGAGCAGGAAATGCAAAAAGGATCTCTTACTAGACTCACTGCTGCGGTCTACATGTGACCACTATCAGACCATCTCCGGATGTCATTGAAGCCAGTCCGTCCAACATTATGACATTAATCCAGTTGAGATTTGGTGGGCTACTGATTGTCATCTCCGTAGGCTATTACAGATAAGCAGATCCTTTTCCATGCATAATAAAGCAACTCATGACCGTGTCAAAAAACTAAAGTGTGCACATAAAACTCTCGCTCTAGATATGATGGTGACAGAGGGAAGAATTGGCTACCTTCTCCACAAACTCCCAGAGTTCAATGAATCATACCAGACAATAATCTGCAGCAATAAAGTCAGAACTCTGTCATTCTTCATCCCGTGTCTGCACACACATTCACACTTGCATGCACACGAACCACGACCTGTAAACACAGTAGGTTTTGCCATCTTTGCACCTTTGTGGCTCTCCATTGGTGACCTATTCTGTGACTAACTGCACACAAGCCAAAACAGATCACATGCAGAGGCTCAGCACACGTCGCATTAGCCTGTCCACATAAGGGCATCAAATATATCAAGAGATCATTTTAATTTTAAAAGGTGGTTCAGGCTTCCAGCTGTAGGGGAAACCACAGGACGGAGTTGACACGGTGGTTACTCGGAGGCACTGCTCAGACGACATCAGGCTTCACACAGGACAACTGGGAAATCTACATGGATGCAAGGGATCTCCAGCTTTATGATTCCCTGGAAAGACACAAGATAATTATTTGGACTGGTAGTACACAGAGATGCTGTTGGTTAAGTGAAGCCATAGCGGTTATATTTTTTTGCTCACCTGAGGTGTTAGGTTTTTTTGGATCCTCTTCAGCTTGGCCTTTTTGCGTCCATTTTTTGTCACAATTGCCTCTTCATAAAACTCGTGGGCCAAGTCGCCGTCTTCATCAAAGTACATAGAGCTGCAGCAGAGACTAAATTAATTATCCGTGCATGTGCAATATATATATATATATATATATATATATATATATATATATATAGGTGTGTATCCAGCCCGTCAGAGGATAGTAAAACTTAAGGTTGTTGACAACATATACTGCAGATTAAACATTTTGAATCAACGCCAGTGAAACGTCTAGGAATTTTGGACATTACAAAATGTGATTCAAGAAAAACTTTCAGTCCGTGGTCTTCCTGTTGGTAGACTTTTTGTTTCTTCTAAGCAAAGTAAGCAAACATCTCAGCACAACAGTGGTGTATACAATGGCAGCTAAGATCAAAACATATCAATGCAGCAGCAGAACACTATGCCCGTGTCCACTTAAACGCATTAATGCGGAAATTGGCAGAAGAATAAAGATCACCTGATCTGACCTGTATAGTGCACTAGTGGATTGGTCGGAATTGTTTTGCAAACAGCTTAAATGTATGGCTCAAACAGCACAGGCTGAATAACTGGGGATGTTTTATGTGGTACGGACATCAAACTAATCCCAAAACTAAGAAGGATATCCCTAGGGGTAGTTGCTTGTAACAAGACCACGTCTATTGGGGTCTACTATGATACCAAAAAAAAGGTATGTTGAAGGCGGCATCCTGCTGAGGGTATAATTACCTTTTTCTAGTTAACACAAAAGGGGTTGCAGTTGGGAAACTTCGAACTTTCGCCATGGGCTGCTGGTTTCCATCTCTAATTGGATCGTCCGTACTACCGGAGCCAGAAAAAGGCCAAAATCCTTTGGATTTGGAGCCGCTACCACCCATCTTCAGCTGCAGCACATAATTTTCTTTGGTCGCTCGACTGCCGGTAGTGCTACAGTGTTACTGTACCAGATGAAATGTGACCTTCAGAATAGAAGACCTAGAAAAAAGGGACACATGAAAAGAAAGAAGCTTAGAGGAAAAACACAAGTCAAACGCAATTTTTCAGGTGATGCTGGCGACACAACTTTCTGTGCGCAAGAGAAGTGAAACTACCGACAGAAACACACACATCGCTCTTTAAATAACACATTTACGCGAAACTATGACGTAATGTTAGATGTCATTCCAAGGACAGCAAGTAATGGTCTATTTTGCTTAAAGCTGACGTGATGTAATTAATAAGTCCCAAACTGATGTTAGGTTATAATTCGATCACATGTGCAGGAATATAAACGAGCAGGCAAGCTGCATTACAGTGCAACATATTAAATTTGCATTAATTTTGCAGACTGTCAACGTAACAAACTCAACCACTCTTCTACGTACTATTATCACCAGGTTAAATCGGTATGTGAAAACAAGAACAACTGAATAACGTTGGTCGGCTCTCTTGTCAAGAGTGGAGAAGCCTCGCTACCGTTAGCATAGGTCGTCTGTACAGGACAGCTAACGCTGCTAGCTAGCTAGCTAGCTCCCAACTGACAGAACCATGAAGACATAGGTGGTGCCTGTGTTTATCAAATCGGCTGTTGTGTCACTTTATGTCGTGGCTGCGAAGACGATCGTTGGCCAAAGACACCTAACGTTACTCCGTTCCTTGCGTTAACCAGGTCAACATGTTTCTATCTGGTTTACAAAATAACGTTTGACGTCACTGACTCCGCAAAACGCGACCGTTAGCCGGTCTAAAGACGTTTGCGTTTGTTGCCTAACGACGAGCTGACGCTGGCCGATAACCTACCTAAATCGTGGCTGGATGCGTTCGCTGGCGTGAAATAGTCTCTGACGGATTTGTCTCGGTGGGCTGCGAAACCCACAGAAGAGAAGAACCACAGCTACTGCTAGCTGTTTATGCTAACTAACGTTAGCTACGCCGTCTCTGGTGAGGTGATGACGCGGCGCTAGCGCCACCACGTGGACCGGAGGGTGAAGTGAGAAAGAAAGACTCCAGAATGTGCTGAACCCCATTAATTAGGTTATATAATGGTCTACATCATGTGGCCAAAGGCACCTCCCTTAGTAAGTTACTCCTATATGATTTAAACAATGACATCAAGATATTTAACATTGTATGTTTATTAGATTGTTATGTAAACACATATTCAAAACCATTTCATACAGGTTCATTAAAGTGCCTGAATTAAAAAAAAATCATCACAGAATATTATCTGAAGTTAAATGTCCGAAAACACTAAACCTTTTAATACCACTACGAAGAATTCAGTAAAGCAGCGTTTTTTTCAAGAAAGACCTGCATAAAATAATCTATTATTTCCCCAATTCAGTTCACAAAAGTGGCTCTGCTTGCACAAAATCAGCATTGCCCTTGCCTATAAGGGTTCACATTAAATGTAACGGCAGAATCCCTGCTTTATAAACAACATGTATTAAAAAAATTACACCACCTGAGCTATTTTTGTCCCTTCTACATTGGTAATCAACAAAGTGTCAGAACGCTCTGCTACATGTTTAAATATGAAGCTCAATCAAAGTCAACTAGGTGTAGAAATCCGTGCCAGCGCCTGCTTCGTGGTGTCTCTTGCAAGACTGTAGCGCTTCACAATCTGCCTCACATGTTCTTCTTCCTCACGCTTCAGGATTCGCAGAAAGTTGCACAACTCAGGTAAACTGAATGCATCCCACTGAGAAGGAGAGCCATTTCACATTAGAATCTCTTGACTGACTATTTCAGTATTTATCAATAAATTCTCAGAACCAAATGGATACTTACATTTATTTCCCCGGTTTCATTTTCTTTCAAAACCAGACTGAAGACTTTCTCACTGGGGCCAGCACACAGGCGCAGGTAGAGGGGGAACTCATCATCGGGTAGCTTGCGCATGTACACTAAAGGAAATCAATTTCAGCACTTACACATAGTTCACGTAATACTTTTTTTTCCTCGGTTTTGTTCTACAATAGCTGCACATTATTGAGGATTTTACCTTGACTTTGTCTCTCGGCGCGTTCAAACAGGGCAAACTTGGCCGGGTTGTCCACCACGGTGAACTTATTGAGCAATGCCTCGATGACTTCCCGCACGCGGGTCTGGGAACTTATATGCAGGTGCTTGGCAGTGTCTTTTGGGAGGTAGAAGGACGTCCGCCGCTTCATGGGTCTGCCCTGCTGATCGTCCTCCTGTGAGGAGCACAGGCTCTGAGAGGGAGGCAGGGAGACGGGACGGACCAACTGGAAGTGAACCTTGATGAAACCAGTGTAGGACCCATCTTTGTTCTGCAAGTAAGAAAGATATAATAGAATTGTAAGAATGGCCGTAAGTAAGTAAACATTTGTGCCCGAATGAATATTCTGCAAAAAGAAAAGGTAATTAGTCACTCACGACCATCATGTAGAGATTGCTGTTGATCTGTGCGTTATACTCCTTGACCTTATGTTGAATCTCACAGACAGTCAACTTCTGTTTACCCCAATCGATCTGTTCATCCTACAAAGAAGAGAGCAGAGAACAATACGGTTACAATACAGGAAATAGGCCACGTGAAGTCAACGAGATGTTGTCCTCACAAGTGAGCATTGAGGACGAAGACAACGTGACAGAGGACGGATGCATGCGACCACAAGTCAAACCCATCAAAGCAGAGAAAAAATAAAATAAAAACATGAACGCCACGCTAATAGGACTGATGAATTATGCAATAGCCTCACCGCTGATCTTTCGATCTTGTGAAAGAAAGACGTAAATGCAGTAAAATACACCTCCAGCTCTGAGCGACTGTCCTCCTGACTGCAAAATGTGTCACTTGCTGTGCTTTCCCGAGTCATCTCTGCGGTCCAGTTGAGTTTTACTAGATTTTTGTCATTGCCAAAGTCTTAAATCCAAATGTTCTTAGCTTTACCCTCGCTCTGTCCCTCTCTCTCTCTTTCTCCTGTTTGTGAAGATAAGATTGTGCTAACGGTTCTTTTGACCAAAGCATTTCCATTTGCTCCTCCCTGACAATAAAACCTCACAAAGATGTCTAAAGGGGCCAGTCCGCCCCAACAAGCGATCTGCTCACATCATCTTGGGAGAAAAACCCTCACCCAACGTTAATTTTCAAAGTGTTCAGAAATATTAACCTCAATCTGTAGTGTCCGATCATCCAATATCACCAATTTACTGTTCTGCCACTACTTAATGCTGCGTTTTAACTCTGGTTAATTAAGGGCTTGCAAATCCTGATAAAAATCTATACATTTCCCCATTAGGTTTCTTATTAATATCGCCAGAGCGAGCAGAACAATTGTAAAACAATCCTTCAATTACCTGAAATGTTGTGAAGCAACTGAACTATTTTGTTTGGTGGTGAAATAAAGGCAGCTGCTTTATTGTGACGTTGTTAAGTTCTCCCCTCAGCTTTCCCCTGAATTGCTTTCTGTGTGGATGCATCGACAATGCGGAGGTAATAAAATCAGCATCCGTACGGACATATGGCACGCTGACACTCAGCAGTGGACTATCTGGTAGCCTCCATCTGCTCTGACCTCCCCGCCCCCCTCAAATAATCCGATGAAGGCGGCTTTCTATACAAAACGTACCATGAACATGAACATATGTACGGTCGTGGCTCTTTTCCTCACCACATTTGTGTCCGTCTCGAGGGAGTCAACAGAGAAATCGTCCTCTTCTGTTAGCAAACTGCCGTGTGTGCGGCAGTCCAGCTGGATGAACGGGCGGCAGCGGTAGTGACATGTGTAACTGCAGTCTGAGAGAGAGAGAGAATTTGGGATTCTCAGTTATGCTTTGGCACGTGGTAAATGCTTGTTTTCTGTTTTTCTTCAGTAATCCTTCACTGTGCTCAAAGCATTACCCAAAGCACACTAACCTAGATGCATTATTGAAGTAACATGCCAAAATACTTATAAAATAATACAAAATAATAACCGCTCATGTTTGATGTTTGATGCAATGTTAATTAAAGGGCCTTATCCCTCATAACTTTGTCACAGCAGTTTATCTTTGCTTTGAAGACATGGGGGAGAAATGCATTAGGTTAAATTATGTAGAAAAACTAATGCTTTCATTTCATATTAGCCAGCTCACAAACTGGAACATGAGGATTCAGGCAGCCTCATAAAGTGCACATCACTGCACTTTATTGGGCCGTTTGTGGCTGGTTGAGTATCTTTGCTTTGTAGGTCAATGGTCGCAGAACAAATATGCTCAGCATGTACACACCAAACATAAAGGACTGGGTTGCTGTTATTTTACATTTGGCCCATTGACTAAATCAGATACTTTCCAGCCCATATTTTTTGAAAATGACCTTTTACTTAATCTGGAAATTGTAGTTTTGAATAAATGTTACGGTGACTGTGATTCAAACAAATTCACCAAATTTTACCGAACAAGTTCACATGCCGGCGGTACTCACTGGCGCAGCGTAAACTCTGCTTGTAAACCCCCCAGATGAATTCTCCACACAGGTCACACCAGGTGAGATGCGTGTAACTGTAGGGCTGGAAGTCGTGACCGGCTCCGGCAGCTCCCGCCTGACGCCGCGGTGCCTCCATTCTGACACTTTCCCCGAGCAGACGGGCGACGCGGAACGGGCTGGGCTGAGCCGGGTTTACGGGCGGAGGGCCTCCGGCCAGCTCAATGGGATCATTTACGCTGAGGTCCTTCAGCTCAATCAGCTCACATTTAGACATCCTGTCCCTGACCGAGACTCTGACATGTCAAGCGAACACTCACTGTCCATCGGCCAGCGTGGCCGTCCACTCAGCGATGAGAGGAGACATTATTCCTTGCTGAGGACAAGGGGGATGCCGTGCTCTGGTTGAATGTACGGGTCGGTCCAGATTGGTGGCTCCGAAGTCCTTCTGGGCTGTAAGACAGTTTAAAATCATACAGATGTACAACACAATGAATACATATGTGGTTCACCGGAATCATCATGACACAGACACAGATGACGATGATAAATAATTCAATTATTCTATACTACAAGTGTCGCTGGAATTTTGACCTCTTTTCACATTATTATTTCCCAGAAACCCTCCACTCTGCTTCAGTTCTTTCAATTCAACCAATAACTGAATAAAATCACTGTCCATGTTGACTTTGGCTTACGGGCTTCACAACTGGAAAAACAAGGGATTACCCGTTGCTATCTGATGCCAGGATTCATATGATAATGATGAATATAGGACAAGAACATTGCTCTAATCCTGTGAAATCACAGGACTGTTTGCACTGTTTTCCTGTCTGCGACACTGAAGCAGTACATGTTAACAATATGGTGGGGCAAAAAGTACAGCGCTGATATCGTTTCATAAATAAATGGCAACGCAATGGAAGTAAAAGGTCAACAGCTGGTTTTAATATTATTTATTTATTTATTTCAGACCCAGAGGGATCCATAATACAGTACAAATATTTTAAACGTGCATAATATAATGCGGAGATCAAATATTTATAGTGTATACCATATCTGCTCCGCTGTATTTTCAATTTCAGAGGCTTCAAATTTGACTATATTTATTAAAACAATAGATACAATAACACATGCAATGTACATTTTACTGATACATGTGATCATTTCCCAAAACCGCCAAGACAAATTCCTTGTATGGCTGACATATTTTGGCAATAAATGTTTCCTGACTCCTGATTCCTGAAGAATTGTAACCCTGGACCACTTGAAACGTGACCTATTTGGCCTCTCGTCCTTTTTGCAGAGATTGTTATGCAAACAGCGGTAGAACTACATTCCTCCGCTGTTCCAGTGCGGGGAAATGCTCACAGGTGCACCAGACACACTTGGTTGCATTAGTTTCCTTGTGGAGCCGCACTGTGACTTGAATGTGAACAACCCGGGGCTCTATTCGCCAAGTGGGTCACCACACGGCGCAATTATCCACACCGGGCAACAATGTGCGGATCACCCGTGCGCGCATTCCGCAGGCTTTGTCGTGGAACTACTTACATGTGAAACCAAGCATGTCCCTCCTCAACCTACGAAGTTTCCCGATGATTCCTCTTTAATCTGCGTCTGTCGTCTTTTTTTCCCCTTTCCTGCAGCCTGCAGCCCGTGACGGGACAGCCCGGATTAATCCCGCCCGAAACGGGACAAACGAACCCAGTTGGACAGTGAAACCCGAACAAATGTTCTCGGTGTGCCACGCTGAGAGAAGAAGAGCCTTTACCTCGTCTAGGTGCTCATCGTCCCCGACTCGTCGCGGAGGACAATCTGGAGAAGCGAACACGGTTTGTGTTATTTACTCCGCGCTGTCTCCCCTCGTCGTTGCGCACGCTTCGGTTTGCGCATGCACGTTGTGAGTGCGGGATTACCTCCTAATCCCGTATAGCAGGCTGCGTGTATTAAAGCGTCCCGGGGAGAACCCGCACTCAGCGCACGTATAAAACGACTCAAAGTTTAACTCGGTGAACAGATACCGTTTTAATGATGTACAATGTATCTGATCGTATTACGAATAATTACAATCGTGTTATTATTATCGCGTTAATAGCGACAGAAAAACTATGGAGAGAAAATATAAGGTCTCTCTCTGCGTGTGATGTGTTTAATTTTCAAATAAATGACACTGTTGATCATTCTGAACATGGGTGAGGAGTCAGTATGATGAACAGTACATTAGGTAATTGATTGAGTCTTTAGAGGCAGTAAGAAGATGACCCTCAATTAGATGTAAAATACAGTAGAAAGAGGAACTGCAACTGGATTCACTTACTGTATTTTGTAAAGGGAAGTATAGTTGCAAAGGGGCGTAAAGTTTCCATGGGGAAAAGTGCCTGATGTTAGTAGACTAACTTTACAGCAGTGAGAGTAGGACGTATGTATGTCCACATAAAAGTACACCATCACCTTGAATATTCGCCGCTTTCGGGGTCCATCACAAAGCACACGTTTTGATACTATTAATGGGGTAAATACAATTATTTAGACAAATAAGCTGCTAGTCATTAACAAACTGACAGCTCATCGTTGTAGAAAAGCTCGATGAATCAATGTTGAGTTGACATGAGTGGGAGATGGGCTACTGTACAGTGGAGGTACCGGCTGTGTACGAAAACAGTAAGATTGCTGTCTTGAAACCCTAAAGGGAAGTCAATGTGCAGGAACCTTTCTGAAAACCAAAATAAAAAAATATTTACTCTTAGATATTTGTGACACAGCTATTACTTCCCTTAGAATTCCAGTCATTTTTTAATATTACTGCTTCAATAATAATGATCCAATATAAAACAGGATCAACATTCTTTTTAAACTTTTTGTTTGCTGATTTGAACGTTTTTACGTCAGTGGAATATTAAATGCAGAACTTATTTTTGATATTTTGCTGTGGAATTTGTACTTCGAGTGGAGTATTTGATATCCACTGTTTAAAAGTCAATGAACTGTGTTGCTGATATGACTCATGAATTCCGAGTCATAGAAGTTCATAAAATGGAAGAAAGGACTTATTATAGACTCACACTCATCGTTTGGATCTTAGATGTAAAGCCAACATCTGGACAACACACGTGCCCTTTATTGGTCACAGCAGGAACCCGCATGGTGAATCTGACTTCCCGAGAAAACGAACAATGAAACAAAGATACACACAACAATTACAGCTGCTTTTTCATTTGTGTATGCACGAAGACCCCACATGACACTGTATCAGCACAATCTTGTGTGAGGGAGACAAAAGACAGAGGGAGGGATGTTGTTGTTTGTTTGCTTTGTGTGTCCAGTGTAAACCGGCCCAGCAGAGTCACACGCTTATGAGAGAGTAATTGGAGCACAGACGTTACATTTTAAGCACCCAAACAGTGTGGTACTGTAACTGTTAAACAGTTAAATGCCATCGCAATTGATACACATTTATTTGTAACTATGTAGCCGCAACTCCGGGTTTGATGCAACCAGAATGTATTTGATTGTTTCTAATAAATGCGTATGGAAAATCCCATAGATCTATATAAAGGCCTTTATATATGTCTATGGGAAATCTTTCCCGGAGGATTCCACGTCAGCCACTCGTAAACACAGATTCCGGATGTTGTGATTTCACAATAAAAGCTTATCGTTTGGACATGGTTCTATTTATTTGTATTCAGAGCTGTGGACTACAACACGAGTAGTATAAAAACATCCGAATAATAGTCGTGGTGTAGCATGCAGATGTAAAGGTGTATACCAACATGTGTAACCCGTCCGTGTTGTGCCCGAGAACCTAACTTTAATCATGCATTTATTGTGAATCAGCAACAGAGGGTCAACTGTGTGACGTTGAATTGTTTTGGCTGAATAGGATTTTTTTTGCCCGGAACCATGACAGACTTTTCAGTCTTTTGAGTCACGGTGAAATGGCAAAAAAGCACAGCTTTATTCTGAAATTCTTAGCCGGATGTTTTATTATTTTACGCCCAGAAACGTTAGGTTCAGTAGCACACTGGACTTAATTCACAGATATAAGTTAACGTTAAAGTTATGTAAACGCGACAGTTACCGTGTCTTTAATCACCACTTCCGCTTCCTTTTTTTTTTTTGTGGCTGAAACTTTTAGGCGTCGATCTGTGTGTTTGGTCGGTTGCTGTTGAGCTGCGCCGCTCGACATAAATCACATTCAACATGCTCCTCAACAAAGAGAGCGGGTCCGAGCTGCGGATCTACGGCTGCACCAGAGCAGCTTCCGCGGCGCTGTCCCACTGCGCCTGCATCGTCTTCACCGTGACCATCGCTCTTCTGTCTCGGCCGGGGACAAGTGAGTGTCCTGCTTCTCAAAACTCACACATGCTTCGTGGTGGCTCGTTGCTCGTTTGTATGATCTGTTTGTTTGTTGGTTTTCAGGTTGGTTTTCCTGGCATCCTTTCTTCATGACACTGGGTGTAAGTTGAAAGTTTTCCTGCAAATATACATTTTTTTTAAAGTTGAAAATCAAGTTGAAACAGTTCGTCGTGAGGTGTTTGACACAAATCAATATGTTTACCTAGGGTTGCCACCCGTCCCTAAAAATACGGAATCGTCCCGTATTTGGGAATAAAATAGCGGGTTTGTCGTGTATTTTCCGAGTTGTCGTCAATGCAGCATCTCCCGTGCAAATAATCCCACCCGAAAGACTCGTCCTATCTTGGCCCTGATTGGGTAACACTCTCTGCCATCGTTGGTTCGACTGGCCGTGAACCTGAAACAAACCAATCAGTGTCAGAGGAGGGCGGGTCTCTTGGCGGAGTGTCGATTCGAAAGAATGGCGGAGGCAGCTCCTGATGCTGAGAAAGTCAGCAGCAAAAATATGTGAATATGTAAGAAATTGTGATGGTCATTCAGTCAAATAAACAATAATCATTATTATTATATACCATTAATTCATGCCCCCCTCCCTCCCTATTTCCATTAGTTCTCCTTCTTCATGACAGAAGCCATACTCCTTTTCTCCCCCCGCGGCTCTCCCTTAAAAACGCTTCCACACAAGACGAAATCCCGCGCACACTGGATCCTGCAGTGCCTCTGCGTGACCTGTGCCATCCTGGGCCTGGCGGCCATCGTTTACAACAAGCACCTCAGCGGCAAGCCCCACTTCACCTCGTGGCACGGCCTGCTGGGCGTGATCGCCGTGTGCGCAGTGGCGCTGCAGTCTTTGGCGGCCGTGCCGCTGATCTACCACTCCCTGGCGAAGGGCTGGTCCCTGGCCAAGCTCAAACGCTACCACGCCGCCACCGGGCTGGTCGCTTACCTGCTGGGCAGCGGCAGCCTGCTCCTCGGCCTCCGCTCGGCCTGGTTCACCGGGTCGGCGGGGGAGCACACCTGGTACCTGGCCGCGGCCTGCTGTGCCTTCAACGCCCTCGTCGTGATGAACCAGGTCAGCAGCGCGTACACGGCCAAGAAGCGGCTGCAGTCGTGACCCGGAAGGAGACGGCGTACTCAGCGCAGCGTGGATGCTGCACGCACGGTCGCTGGGATTTGGTCTATGAATGAATACTTCCAAAATGAACGACATCAGTCTTTGGTCTACTTGTATTGTTACGGCACTTAACGTGCCGGCCTAATTAAAATGGTGAACATCGTAAATATTCCTTGAAAGTAGTGAGCTGCTGGCGGACCATGACAACATTGCTCACCATTTCTGCCTAAGATGGATAAATTCAATAATTAAAATAAAGCGGTAATATGCAGTGTGAAGGGGACCATGATATTGGGGAGACATACTTTGCAGAAAGTACTTTTAAAATGGATCCTTTTTACTTAATATTTCCTGTCGCTCTGTGTATGTTGAATTTATTGTGAACCGTTCTATCTCAGGATCATCACTCTGCTGTTTGATTACTCATGTAGTCGGTTTAAGAGATGTTTATTCCAAAAGTTTGTAAATGATTCACAATGCAATAGAAGAGTGTTTTATTCTTAAAATAACATTGATACCACAAGTCATATTCTGCTTTGATCTACGCTGCATGTAGGAAATTCTTACTGAATCAGCCGTCAATGCGTCAAAGTGAACCAAACATTAAAAAAATGTAATTACAAAAAAGAATGTATTTGTCATTATAAATACATTTCAGACGCTTGCACTGAAATAAGGGAAACGACTGCCGATACGAAGTTATAAAACATTTAAAAAAAACAAATATTTAAATGTAACATAAAAATGGTTTCCAACAGATCAAAAAGACAAAACAAAAGTCAATATAATGTACTGAAAAGAAACCGTCACTTCCCAAAACACACCGATGACAGAAATGAAGCATCCAGAACGAGAAAGAGCCAATAGTAACAAAACGGGAACATTGGGAGCTAAATCTCACTTCATATGGGAACGGTCTGTTGTCTCAGGTTATCCAGTGTTTGTTTTTTTAACGGCTATTTTAACGACAAAGGAGAAGGGCTTTCCTACCTCTACGCACCCTGAGGTGTCCTCACAACACAGAAACACGAGGCTACAGACTACAGCAGAGCCCTCGACTCCCTAAAGCGCCGCAGACCCACAGAAGCTACTTGCATGCACTGCTTTCAAAGACGCAGCGGTGTGAAACGCTACCGCGTGGTGGCGCTGGGAGTTTGGTAAAAGGCCACCACACCCCCTGAACGGGTTTCAGTGAAATGTTCTAATCGTTTTTGATGGCTGGTGGCTACATTGACTGGACGTTTTTGGAAGTGCGTGCTGCACGAAGATGAAAGGATTCCTGGGGTTTTGGTAATAATTGTTCTCTGCGAGGTCCTGAAAAAGCACCCACAAGGAAATTAGGATCATCATCATCACAAATAAACCTGTAGGCTGTCGGCTGCAGGGACAATTCAGCCAAAAAGGTGAAATGAGCAGACAAGATAAAAAAGAAAAGAAAGAAATCGCTTCTGGCTTCTGCACTTGGTCATTTTCATCACAATGTGGAATCTGCCCATCGCGTTATGAGTTTCATGTCGACTTTAAATGCTCAGTAGTTCTTCCAACTGATCTGTTGAAAAGAAAACTCAAGACCTCTTTGTGTAATTTAAGGCTAAAAATGAAAGAACACAGTCTCAAACCTCTTTCCAGACCCTGTGTTGTCAAAGGCTAACATGAAAGTACATTCATTTTAGTTTTAAGGGGGGGAGGAAAAGGTAAATGATAAAGTTGAACATAAATTTGTTTCCCTCGCGTCAATGAGAGCACATTTATCACCATGATAGTCACCGAAATAGTAAACCATCTCCCTCCAAACAAAATCTACACACTGCACATTATTGACAATAAAAACAATAATGATGCTATTTACAAAGTACAACCTGTTCAGTTGCAGGATCACACGTATATCCTCTCCACAGGGGATGCTACAATGTCTATCAAATTTCTAAAGACTAAAAATACGTTTGGAAAGCCTAAAGATTCCAGCTGTTAAAGGAAAACCGTGAAAGGATTTTCTCTAAATATATACGGTCATTTGTGCATTTGGACAAATATCAACACCGCGTTCTGCAGCCAGCAGGGGGGTTATTTATTGAAGTATTGTTGCCTTCCAGTGTGCTGCAAAAGTGCGCAGCAGGTGAGCACTGCTGACATGTGACACGGAATGTCTGCTTTTCGTTTGCACTGGACCGTTTCGTAGCAATAAGTCATCGATCCAACAAGAAGCACTTCTCACTTCCATTTGAATTCGGGGGGGATACGACTAACAGCGCTGGGAGGCTTGAAGGTATCGCAGTGGATTCTGTGCTTAGAAAGCTCCCGAAAGAATCAGCTGGTCCCCAAACGACACCCGTCTGATGCCGCTGCTCGGACGCTCCGGCCGAACAACTCGGCCACGTTCAGCATGAGGATTCAGGTACAAGTTGATTCTCTCAGCAGCAGGTAGGTGTGTGTGTGTGTGTAGGTTAATGAGACACTTAATGAATGGGAACAGCGAGGCTGGAACACGGTCTTGTTGAAGACCATTCATTCAGTGAAGGTGAATTAAAGGTGATTGTTTAGTTCCTGAAAAGTTTTTATTATTGAATTGTTATTTTTATTTTTATTTAGAAGAAGGTTGTATATTCTCACTTTCTTTCTTCCCGTCTCTACGTGGACTCCAGAATTTCACAATACATCTAAACACTAATCCACGGGTCATAAATTACGGTAGGTGCTGTAACATGATCCCTTTAGTTCATTTAATAAACGTGTAACCCTTCCCATCCCTAATTCATGTTTGCCATGATTGTGTGAAAGCGCCTCTCTACTGTCCCATCACCTCTATAACGTCGTCATCAGAACTGCTGCCGTTGTTCTCCGTGCTCTGATGCATGTCTGGCTGAGTCAGAGCCGCCCCCAACAGGCTGGAAGCTGGGTTGTTGAAATGGGAGAGGAAACCGGACGCAGTAGAGCTGGAGTTGGATGTGGGGAATCCCCCCGACCCAGAGAGGAGCGGGGCGGGGAACATCCTGGGCTCGGAGAGCAGCGACTGGCCGTAGTTCAGCGGGAAGCCAGACGGAAGCAGGCCGGCCATGTTGGGATTCATCAAGTACGGCGGCAGTGACCCCGACACCAGGGAGGAAGAAGTGGCCGCAGAGGTCGAACCCGACATGGAGACGGCGGGGGGAGCCGAGGAGAAAACGCTCGACAGCGACGACGAAGAGGGCGCGGGCGGGTGTCCGTTTCCTGTGGCGGGCGGCCTCAGCAGCTCCGAGCCTGCGGAGGGGAACATGGTCTGTAGGTCAGCCAGGGTCTGTCCGGGCGCCTGAAGGAACGACGAGCCGCCGCCGCCCATCAGAAGCGGATGACCCATGTGACCAAGGTTCCCCAGGAGGGAGGACGAGGAGTTCAGACCGACGGGGGGGAAACTGAGGCCACCGGAGCCCGCGGACAGTCCGGGGAAACGCGCGGCGGCAGAAGAGCGTTTGCCCCCCAGCTGTGTGCTGCCCTGGCTTTCAGTACTCCTGCGCTTGCTGCCGCGCATCTCTAAGGCCGAGCCCAGGAGGTCTTCACTGAGCTGCCGGCTGTGGTTGCCGGTCCGATTGTTCTGCGAACTGCCTACGGTGCCGGCCGACATGTCCGGCACGGGGGACGGCGGGTCGTCCCCCGTGCCGCCGGCGGTGTTGGCGGCATCCCCTGTGGAGGAGGCGTAGCGGGTGAGCTCTCGGAGGATCTCGGAGCTTAAGGGAGAGGAGGGCTGCTGCTCCCCGTTGGGGGAATCCTGCTGTTGATCCACAGGCGACGAGCAGCCGTTACTGAGTGGGTGGATCAGGGATCCCTGGGTGTCTGTGGCGGAGGAAGAAACGCAGGCGTAAAATGTCAGGAGATAAAGAAAATAACTTTTTTTTTTTTTTTTAAAAAAGGTCAACCCTGGAAATGAGACGGTGGGGACAATGTCCATTAATGTACAAATGTTCTACAAAATAATGACTAACAGTATTCCTTTCAGTGTTTCCTCTTCTACGTCGGATTTAGCGTACTTAGTAGTTGGATGTTGAACATGTTACCGATGCCGCTTGCATTCAGGGATATTTAGGAAGCGGAAATATACAAAAAGGGTCGGGCGCTGATATCTATGGAATCATCAGCACCCCCCACGCCTCCTAAATGCCCGCTGCTCACATTTGTAAGGCAGGCTTTTTTCTAAAGCTTCCTTAAAGAAAGCTCCCTGAGGAGCAAAAGAAGACCTGTTGTTAGTTCTGACAACTTAAACCAACTGCACATGGAAAAGAATATCACCCTCAATGTTGTATGAGTTGTTTGGAATGGCTGTAATGCAAAACTACATAGCTGGGACCAAGATTAATAAATATGACTTTGTACCCCTTGAAGAAGCAGAACCCCCGACTGCTGGCCTACTGATCTTTCCAGATCGAATAGCAAAAATCCTTCCATCGTTTGTCCTAATGTAGGTACCTGTGGTGGAGAATACATCATGTGATGGATTTTAACTCAAAATGTTTCGTATGAAGAGAATTTACTGCGTTGTGGGGACTACCTTTCGATCCTCTTATAACATGGATGCTCTCTCCTGCACTAATTCGAGCTTGAACATCTGTTGTGCTGTTGGTTCCCGGGATTACAATATCTGCAGATCCACACAAAGCGGCAGGTGTTATCGTCTGGTCACTACATTTCACAAGAAACAATTCATTTTGCTTCTATCGAAAGATTGAACAGCTGATACTGAATGGAACATTTCAGTTTGTGCGGCTCATTCAATCATTCCAAACATTATCCATTACCAGTGGTGGTGACAATTCTCTGCACATAAACTCCAGCTTTCTGCAGAAAGTTGAGAGGCAGGCTGCCGACAGGACTCAGTGCAGCCATGCCGGCCTGGCGAGGCATCATGGGGATGGGGGTCGACTGGATGGGCCTGACGCTCGCCACCGGCTTGTGATCTGGCCGCACCGTCGGACGCCTGGAAATATCATGAAAGTCATAAAACGCTCGCGCACAAACATGCATAACAGTTCTGTCTCGTGGCACGAAAATGTATTAGAGACATAAACTCAAGTGGAGCTACGACCTCAAAAGAAAGCCACACTTTTATTGTTGGTTGCAGTTTGGACGCGTGTTTCTGCAAAGCACGCAGACCTGTGAGGCGTTTCTGTCCAGCAAGGCGTGAATTGACGTGCATTGCAGAATATCTGCTTGTTCGTTTGAGGTTTTAGCTGGCAAAACATCCGTGGACCACACACAGTTAGTTTACATTGAGAAGCACGCGGTGTAGAACCCACCAGCCACGTTGGTTGAATGCTGGTATGTTGGTGAGCGTCTGATCACTGGTTGGGTAATAAGGGGCGTACGATGGGCGCGAGTAAGGGACAGACGCTCGTTTCTCATCCTCATAGCTCTTCTTGGCGGCTCTCTTCTCTGCTTTGGTCAGTTTGGACTCCTTTCGATCCACCAATAGAGACTCGTGATGAAAAGGTTGCTATGGAGACAAAGGGAAATGACATTACAGATCAACGGTCAAGATTGGATTTGCCATGCGAAGGATGATCTTCGCCCAGTTCAGATAGAATATCTAAAACCTGACAATAACAACATAACAATAGAAATAGTACAGGACATCAGCTGAACATACTTATGGACTGACAAATCAGGATTTAAACCTCTTCAAATCCAACTGGAAACATTTCCATTTCCTTTGTGTTTTAAAAACAGATCGAGGGTCACTAATATTCCAAATCAAAATGGTATTTGGGGTGAAAATGGGTTTCTAATCTGCCACAGAACACTTGTGTTAAGACAATCTATCCAAAGTTTAAATAACTGAATTCTTCTTTTGGGGCCATAACTATTTCAAATCTAAATAGTGCAATTGGTGTATGAACTATACTAATTCTGTTCAATAGGCATTATCAAAGGAATGAAATAGATATATTATTTATATACATGTATATTAGAGGTGACTCCAATTGTTTTACATGGCATTGTTATTAACGCCCATCATGCAACTGTACCTTGGTGATGAGGTGTGGGTAAAGCTGACAAGCGTCGTACAACACGGTTTCAAATTCCTGCTTGGATTCCAGAGAAATTCTTTCGGGCTCCTCTTCTACAAAGTGCAGCAGCGAGTCCACTTCCTTACGAGTGAAGTTCAGCACTGGGTTCAAGTCATCGACCACTCGGTCTTTAAACAAACACACAGACACAACGGTTTAAAAGGTTGCAAATTGTAAAAGAAAAAAAGAGAGACTATGTATTTTTGTAAATCATAAAGTAGTTGCATATAGTATTTCTGTCAAAAGGCCCAATCCATGGAGGAAGTACAGTACAACATGGCATACACGCATACACATGACTTCATCTAGTCAAAACTCCAAATAAAAGTATGAATCTGCTCCATAGATACTGGTAGAAGAACTGTTTTTGGGGCATTTTGGACGTCCCTGTGGACCAACATGGTAGCGTAGAGTAGTAAGTCGCTTCAGTCTTGCTTCTCAGTCTTATTTCTGTTACTCCTGTGCCCCTCAGCAGCTAGTCCAGCCCTACATCTAAATCCTGGGCCTCCCAGCAAGTCTTGTTTAGTTAAGTCAGGCATAGAGAGGAATCACTATTAAATGAGTACTGTTTGAGAATAACAGTACCTCATTGAAAACCTATGGATGTGTTCAATGTGCTTTATACCTGCTCAAAAACAACTGAAAAGAGCATTTACGCATTACTTTTCAAATCGAGAATTGAAATAAAGTTAAGAAGTGAAAGTTTTAATTTGAACAGATAATGAATGCACTTGAAGAAGTAACAAGTAATACCTGGAACGCGTCTAGAGACCTTATCTACCCACCTACATGACAGAGAGCCCTAAACTTGTAACTGGAGAATAAAATGGATGGTGTAGATGTAACATGAAGGCAATGTCTTACATAAAGATCTTTCCCATATAAAAATCTCTTACCAGACATGCCCTGTTTGGAGACCTGTCTGTCATAAATCTTTTTCTCCAGGGTGAAATCACAGACGAGGCGGTAAATGTAGCAGGGTTTCCTCTGACCATAGCGGTACACCCGACAGACCGCCTGAGCATCATGACACGGGTTCCAGGAGGCATCAAACACGACGACGCGGTTGGCCCCGATCAGATTTACTCCCAAGCAGCCCGCTCTGAGAGGAACACAGGTAATTATTGGAAATCTTTTTGCCAGTGAAGACAAGAAGTGTGAAGAATTATTGGAAAGACAAAGGAAAGCAGCTACACATACCTTGTGGAAAGAAGGAAGACCCAAGTTTTGATGTTTTCTGGGTCATTAAACTGATTTATAAGTCGTTCTCTTTCTGAGGCAGAGGTACTCCCGTCCAGTCCTGTAGACAGACATGCATCATCTCTCTATACACTTCAACACCCCCGAGAGGGTCATGCCAAATAGTTAGCATATGCAAAACCGACGTTCTCCCTTCCCCGGGAGAGAAGAGAGAGAAGAGATTGGATGACTCACTGTAGTAATTGATATTGCGAATCCAGTTTGGGCTCTCGGTGTCAGAGGAGTCAGTCGGTATGGGTCTCTTTGATAAAAAGTTCTCAATCACCGACAGGCTGGACAAACTTTGACTTGTAGGTGAAGAGCAGAAACAGATAAGTGTAAGAAAGGTAGACTTTGGTATGAAAAAGTAAAACCTATGATGAAAAGAAAAATGAACTGAGAGAGACTGCAATGCTGTTGAGACTAGAAAGGTTACTATTAACCAGTCAAATGTCACAGTACATCTGCATCTACATTCATGACGACAAGCTGTTTAATTAAATGTCATAATTTAATACTATTATTAATAATTTATTACAGACCTAGGAAGATTAAAATTTTTAAATTCCCAGTAGGTGAAACCCTCTGAAAAGCTCCACAAGTCTTAATAAGCTGAAAGGCAGAGTCAGTCTACCACTTTCTGAGCCACTTGATGGTGGATATGTGTTTGACACAATGGTTGTTGGACTTACCTAAAGACCAAAATCTTGTCCCTTCTTCTCACACTCTCATCAATCAAGTGGAAGAGCAGAATCATCTTGGCTGAGTTCTCCAGAAGTCCGGTTTGATAGTTTGACATGATGCCCTTTGCCTGTAACATATAATGTGGAGGTTGAATTCAAATGCTGTTGGTACAGCAGAAATACCCCCACTAAAAAAAAAATATATTTCAACATGCTCAATTTTACAAGCTTGAGGTTTGGAACAAAGTTCAGACAAAAAAAGGGATTCTTTTAGCTGTAAAACTGAGCCACTTCGCATGGACGATCACGACATACCCATTCATACGTGATGACTTGATTGGCTCTGTCCTGAGAGGTGTTGACTAGCGGCAGAGGGTTGTTGGCTTTGGTGTCGGCCACTTTGGCTTTTGGGCCTGGCCCAGCACAGCGGGGGTTACCAGCCGAAGTGATGTCATCGAGGTCCAGGTCCTGCTCGTTGGCATGATTCTCCTTCTGCAGGGCTTCATACAGGACGTCTGGATGATTCCAGATCTTGAGGGATCCGGGGGGTGGAGGAAGAGACAACTTACTTGCTAAAAAAATGGACCTGATTCATCAAATGCATGAAGTTTCTACTCGCCAAAAGGGAAAAAGCGCCTCACCTTGCAGCATACGCAGAAGGCTTTGAGTGGGTTTAGACCGAGCCAGCCAGTGTTCCCTGCTTCTCGAAAGCGTTTCATAAACTCTGTGTACAAGGCCCTCTGAATGGGAGAGAGCCGCACCAAGATCACATGCTCCTCCTTGGAGGGAAGCTGGTCTCTCAGCACATCATGACCTCGTCTGTAAGCCAGAAAAGCACCACATAGAATATTACCAGGTAACCACTAACCAGGCTACTATGCTTTTTTTCCCCCTCCATCAGATACGGTTTGTAAATCGGGCACAGAAAAGTTTACCTCTGGACGAAACCTTCCAGCAGGCTGTGCAGCACGTGGCTGCGGTAGCGCATCAAGCGGACATCGTGAGCAGTGCTGTCCACGCACTGCCCGTTCAGAATGGGCCGCTCAAACATGTTGCTGAATTCCTGACGTGTGCCTAAAAAGTCGGGCCTAACAAAGTCCACCATGCACCAGTATTCAATGAGGTTGTTCTGTAATGGGTAACCGGTCAGGACTACTCTGCGCCGGGAGCGGATGTTCTTCAGAGCCTGCGATGTGCTGGCGTGGTAGTTTTTAATGCGATGACCTTCGTCACATATCACCACATCTGGGCCGGGCCGCGCTATGGCCCTCTCAATAACTGAAAGGACAAAGAGTCAAAGGGGAAGATTGAGAAAAGGGGTCAGTGAATAAAAATGACACTTTTTTTAATTTTAATTTCCAAATGGCACATAGAGGTTGGTTAGGCCACTGCCTCCCTTATGCTAATGACTTTTGCGGACCTTTCATTAGTTCCTGCTGTCGATCTTCTTCATCCAGATCAATGATGATTGGTCCTGCTTGCTTCTTTGATTTCCTCTTCTTGCCCATCACAAAGCTCTTTTTCATGGACAGCAAACGGTACATCTCGTAGCCCATCAGCAGCACGCCTCCATCTCTGGACCACTCCTCCACAACTTTGGCCCTGGCTAGCGTCGATCTGCCGGACAAAAAAAATGAGAATCAACAGCTTAAATGTTTGAAAATCAAGGCTTATTCTTGCACAGGACACTGCGTGTTACATACTTGTGCTCATCGTTGAGAATGTGAACTTTGAAATTGCGGCCTGTGACGAGTGCAGGGTCAGTGTCAGGGGAAAGGGCTTCTTGTGGTGGGAGCCAGAGGTTAAACTCAGTCAGCCAATTCTGGAGTGTGTTCACCTTGATGAAGGAAAAAAAGAAAGAATTTAATTTAAATCAAAATAAGATGTTTAGTCTACATTTTTCTTTTAGCACTGTGCACACTTGTATTACTCACAGGAACAACAACCAGCACAGTGTGAGCCTCAGTATTCCTCAGCAGGATGTCAGTGAAGGAAATGACCTGCAGGGTCTTCCCCAGCCCCATGCTGTGAGCAAGGATGCAGCCAAAGCCACTGCTGGTCTTATACCGCTCCAGGGACTCAATGAGGTTATCGTACAGAAAACGAATTCCACCGACCTTAAACGTGAGGAGACAAAAGTTTGAGGTTACAAGAGTTGGACTGAGGGTTTTATGCTGTTTTGAGAAAGAACAAGATTGTGGGAATACCTGGTGAGGCTTGACTGCCTTGGCCAGCTGTGGAGCAAGGTAAATGTCTTTCTCCTCTGCAGGGTGACTAATATTAACTAGCACTTGACCCTGGGCATCGGGCAGGTTCATAGCATCATTGATATGTGCGCCGCTGCTCTCCTCTGAGGCGGCGGTGCCATCAGCATCCTCATCGGCCGACTCGCTGCTTATCTGCAGGGCGTCCTCGTCCCCAGAACTAAGCTCAATTATATCTACGTCATCACAGGAGAACGGAAGAACCTTGTAAACTCACTCGTAGAAAAAAATGATCATAGCTTCACATTGGCAACAGAAATATTACCATCTCTAACAGCAAGTGCAGGCAGCGTGGGGTCCACCGTTTCCTCTTCATCACCGCTGCTGTCCAGACAGATCACATCCTGCTTTCCCAGGAGACCAGGGATCAAGTGAGACACTTCTCCCAAAAGGGAAGCAGTGTCGGCTGTTTGGAAGCAATGGGAAGATATTAGGATGTAAAGCATCCAAACGAAATGTCAAGCTTGGATATGGCTGGAAACGTAAAGCTTCCACAGAAAAAAGTTGCGGGACATTCACCTAGCTGAGAGTCAGCGAGAGTTGAGGCTGCTGTAGGGAAGTCCTTCCTCTGCTGCTCGAGACGCTTTCTCCTTTCCATCTCCTCCTGTTGGGCAGTCTTGGTCCCGGTCTCCAGCTGATCCTCTTTCAGCAGCTTTCTGTAAGCATGAAGAAAAGTTCAGTTGAACATACATTTAGCAATGTACAGTACTAAAATATCAAACTGATAACGTACCTAATGTTCTTCCTCATGTGTGTAGGTTTAGACGTCTTGGAAGAGTTGGACCCTTTTGAAGACTTCGATTTGGTGGATTTAGAGCTTTTATGCTTCTTTGTTTTGATGGAAGGAGTCTTGCTCTGGCTTGAGTTTTCTGGGCTGGTCGGAGGCTGAGAACGAGAGGCCGGTCTGGAGGGAGCCCTCGATGATGGGCGGGACGTCGGCTGAGATGGAGGCTCTGGGGACGCCTCTCCTGAGGTTGTTGAAGTGGAGTCCCCGCCATCCTGAGCAGTTTCTGTCCTGCTCTCTGCACTCCCAGGTCGTTCTTGAGAGACAACAGACAGTAGATGTCTTCAAAGATTCCTTTTCTTTCTTTACAATGATCTGTGAATGCATTTGAATGCTTAGAGAGGCCCAAGAGAGTTGACTTGTTACTCACCAACACTGTCATCTTCATCGTCACCGTCATTTTCGTCTTCATCTTCATCTTCCTCCATGTCGCCGTCGTTCTCCTCCTCCTCCTCATTTTCCGAATACTCCTCTTCACTGTTAAGGCTGGGCTCCAGGTCACTTTCTGAAACGGCCTTTTCAGACATGGTGTCTTACAAGGCTCTCAGAGTATTACCTGCACATCTTCATCAGGAGCCCTGGAATAATAATACACACCATCTTAACATTTTGGATGTAAACAGTCATTTAGAAGAGTAGAAGAGTAGTAGAATAGTTGTAGCAGCTTTGATCCATTATGAAGTTGACAATGACTATTAATTGCTAGATGGACAGAAACACATTTTGATTCATAAAGACACTTGAAATCTGAAATCAACCAATTGATCTGTGACCCGACAAAAGTATTTTATTCTTAGAACTTAAACATGTCAGATACATTACCTGACCGGGCTCGGCCATTGGATGGTAAGGAGCAAAAAGTCCCTTTCATAATGAACTGGTATTCACCATTGATGTTAAACAACTAGAGTCATAGAACTCATTTATTCAGCTATTATTATTATTATTATTATGTAATGTAATTACCATCATTTTGAAAAAGAAATGAGAGTTTTCCGCCCTGAAGTCTGACAGCAAAACAATCTAGCAAGGTAGTCTGGATTGTGGTCAATCCAAATTATTCTATTTGTAAGGCTCCTGCAGCCCTCATACAGTGTTTACATTTGTAGACCGTTAATACTGAATGTCAGTCTTCCGAGTCTATTAAAGAGAACTAATTAGCAATGCAATGTTAAATATGACGTGACACAAATGCTGATCAGCCGTGGATAGAGACAGCTAGCAAGTAGCATGAAGCTATTTCTGCAGCAAATTTCTTTTATAATGTTATTGTTAATTAAAGTTAACGTCATATACTTGTCGTTTCGTTGGCTCAATGGGCTTCCTACGTGAATGCACATCAATGCTCATTTTTCTCAGGTTAACTGATGCTAGCTAATTAAACAACAATGAACCCATATCACAACGTTACTATTACCGCGTAACTGCATACTGTCCTTTGGTGGCAGCAAAACCGGGTAGATGGTTAGATCTTGTGCTCAAAGAAAAGCAGCTTTACTTGCCGCACCGACTTTTTTATGGGCTGTCGTAACAAGATAACAATCGCATATTTTTACATGTTAACTGTAACGTTCACGTAGCTAAAGCTAGCCTTAATTACATCAAGGCTAACACTGTCGGTCGCGCCGGTTAAATTCATATATCCGGCTGTTTTTGCATCTTACCTCGTATGCAGCTTGGCTGTACTGTATTCCTCAAGAAACCTCGCTGTGCAAACAACAACTGCCCAATCGATTCGCCCAATACGTTAACTGTGTAAACTGGACTGATAAACGTTGCTAATGTCCAATTTTTCCAGTGTAACAGGTAATACCTTCCCGATACAAGTGGCTCCGAGTGAGGTTCCGGGACAGAAAATGCCCGTTTACGAAGGAAATAGAATAAACATGTTTTTAAAATGTGTACATCACGTAAAGTCCGAATTAAGTACAATGTGTATTATAGTTAATAATCTCTTCCCAGTCAGTGTTGTGTTTAATCATAGAACCTTGCATTCACACACAACATAACACGAAAAAAATACCATTTCGAATATCATATTGCACATTGCATGCCCATTATGTTAATGTAAATATTGGATACCACTTAATGTATTTATTTGTCTCGCACTACATGGCAAGTGTAAAATACAGTGGAGCTTATTAGGCCGTGTGTGAAAAATAATGATATTAGAAATTGTATTTCACTTTCGCCATCATTTAGATCCTGGGTTATTTATTTACATACATGCTGCCACCATTAATGCAAAACTGGTTCACCTAATAAATACAACCACGAATGAATTGATCGACTGACGCGTTGATAGTTCGACGAACCGGAAGTTGAGGAGAGGACGTGTTTTTGCGACCCCCTCCTGTCGTTTCTTGATGACGTAGTTTGTAGGCGGCCAATTCTCTCTATTGTGTTTATCTTGAGCTCTCTTCAGTTATTTCGCGAATGGATACAGCTTTATCGTTTGAGATTATTAGACCTCTTCCGAACATGGACTGGAACACAACTTAAAGATTAGTCAGCTTTGCTCAAATGTGAAAATGAACAAAGGGTGGCTAGAGCTCGAGAGTGATCCAGGTAAGACGATTCGTCAAACAACCTAACGTTAGCTAACGTTAACCAACGCTAGCTTCCAACACACAGCCAGATGGACACTTTAGGTTTCTAAGCAGCTCAACTTATGCGTATGAAATCAACTTAAATGCAATCCAAGAACGAAAAACGGCCGTGTGTATGACAAGTTGATGGAGCGTGTAACGAAATATGAAGAGGACTCGTTACTGTCAAGATAATAACGTCAAACTGGTCGTTTGTTGTTTTTTGTGGTGAATTATATGTTATTAAACAATAAATAAAATCTTTGATGATTGTAGGACTCTTCACTTTGCTGGTTGAAGATTTTGGTGAGTAGCTGTGGCACTTTTACTACAGTTAATTCCTGTCTTGGTGTTAATAAAGCCAATTAATGTGTAGTATGTGTGTTCTGTAGGTATCAAAGGTGTTCAAGTAGAGGAAATCTATGATCTTCAAAGCAAATGCCAAAGGTATGGTATGTGTACACCCTGCAAGTCTGTGGTACAATAATCCTGAGTAAATCAATAAATAATTCTCTCCAGATAGGACAAGAGTTGCCATCAAATCTCATATCCAATTTTTTTTCTTACACCTTTTTGGACGGTGCAAAATCAACTTGTAAATCAACAGTGTTTGGCATGATTTTCTTTTTTAGCCCCGTCTATGGCTTCATCTTCTTGTTCAAGTGGATTGAAGAACGTCGCTCACGGAGGAAAGTCAACACTTTGATGGATGAGACTTCTGTCATTGACGAGGAAATTGTAAATGATATGTTCTTTGCTCATCAGGTAAGTGTTCATGTGATTATAGACCTTTAATTAAATGTCAAGTTATTAAAATCTTTGATGTGACATTAAATAATTTTATTATTGAGCAAGTGTTTAAAGTTATACAATATTTAGCCAATTCGTTATGCGATACAATGTTCTTTTTTGTCACTTTTGCAGTAATACTGTCAATAGAATGCCCCGCAACCAAATTTTATTCATAGTCAATAATCTTAAACGGCCATTTAACATCACATTAGCTACGTATTGTTTTAGTAGTTAAGTCATTTTTGAAAATTATTGTGACTATTAGCCATAAGTATTAAATTAAAATTGTATGAAATTGTGAAAAGCAATCAAATTATGGTGTGTTTCATGTTTCACATAATATGTATTGTAAAATGTGTACATTAAGGTCTAAAATTTTATAAAATAATCCTCCAAAAAAAAAAAAAGATCCACAAATCAAAATATTCAGCATTAATGAAAGGCCTGACAGTACCGTTACATTTTAGCATATATGAAACTTGTATTTATGCTGTCATTTTTCCATCTAGCTTATACCAAATTCATGTGCAACCCACGCTTTGTTGAGTGTGCTTCTGAACTGCAGCGGCGTTGAACTCGGCACCACCCTTAGTCGCATGAAGGCTTTCACAAAAGGTTTCAGTCCAGAGGTAAGCTGTTTATCACAGTCACTCATGTATTTGTAATATGTTAAGTGTAATTTTAATGGTGTGCTTTATACTTCCATTTATCATTTGAAAATCATTTCTCAGACTTGTTTTCCCTACAGTCAAAGAACTCATAGGAAGTTAATAAACAAATCGGTTTCTGGGGGGAAATAGATAATGTAAATCAGAACCTATATTTCACAAACACATTATATATATATATAAACAAAAGCCAATGGTCAACAACAGTAAATATCCCTCAAGAGCATTTTCAATTAGTTTTTGTCAGTCAATTTATATTAAGTCTCACTTTTTCTTTTTCTCTGCATTAAATCTCTCTCCCTCCGGCGCACCTGCTGTCATTTTACATTTCTAATGTATTTTTCAGAGTAAGGGTTACGCAATAGGAAATGCCCCAGAGCTTGCCAGAGCACATAACAGCCACGCCAGGTAGGTTACAGTCAGCTGTTCCTTTTTAACAATTTTTACATGCCTCTGTGAAAAAACCCCTGATGTGATTGGTCTATCACACTGTGAGGGATGTTCGGCTTTGTGCATTCGTGAGTTTCTTAAGCTCTCTTTCCGTGTTTCTATGGAGACCGGAGCCCAGGCATCTGCCGGAGAAGCAAAATGGGATCAGTGCAGTGCGGACTATGGAGGCCTTTCACTTTGTGAGCTATGTGCCCATTAAAGACCGCCTCTTTGAGCTCGATGGACTGAAGGCGTACCCCATTGATCACGGTACGAGTACACAATGAAAAACAATTTAATCCCTGTTCTTTTCACACTGATTTTGGTTGGCATATTGAATGGAGTTTACATTTGGTATTTCCTATGATTGTTATTAGCCGCTTTTATGTGGTCCGAAATCAGTTCCTGATATGGGATTCCTTGTTATGGCACATTTACTATGAAGCGCATTAATGAATTAATAAAGCATAACATCCATCCATCGTCAAACCGCTTATCCTGCACACAGGGTCGCGGGATGAAGCGTAACAGTTTTCTCTATTTCAGGGCCTTGGGGTGAGGAGGAGGAATGGACCGACAAAGCTCGGCGAGTTATCATGGAGAGGATTGGGCTGGCCACTGCCGGGTGAGTCCGGAGCTGGTGAGCTCAAGCAGCAATAGTGTGTCTCCTTCTTCTTCTTCTTCTCACGCTGTGGCTATGCACGCTGTGGCTATGCTCGTTTTCAGGGAGCCGTACCATGACATTCGCTTCAACCTCATGGCAGTAGTGCCCGACCGCAGGATGAAGTACGAGTCCAAACTTGAAATTCTAAAAAGAAATCGACAGACTGTTCTGGAAGGTCTACAGAAGGTCAGGAACTACTATAAATGCCTTCTCCCGAAATAGAATACACATATATGAATTGTTATGACCTTTGCTTCGGCATTTCATAGTTAACAGTTTTTTTGATTTCCTAACTGTTTGTGCTGAGCCTTTTTTTCAATAAAAATAATATAAGATAATGTGATCAGGACAATGTTTAGTTAAACCTACTGGCATCGTTGAATATCTTTTGTATGTTGTCACACTTCAGATGATCCGGCTCACTCAGCCCGAACTTGTCCAGGACAAGAAGCAGCAGGAGTCTTCCTCCCCCGATGATAACTCCCCTGCGATCAAGAAAGAGGCCAATGCGGAGCCAGTTACAACCCAAGGGGCTGATCAGGGTACTTAAGTCGGCGTTATTTCCCCAGTCTTTGCTAAAATACATCTTGTAAACATTCTACTGAAATAAACCGACTCTTAATATTAAATTCAGTGGATGAGTCGGGAGATCAGTCTAAGAATGCCGCCAGGCCCTCAGGAAAGGTTACGGGCAAACCACCGGTGCCCCCAGGAGGAGGTTCCCAGCAAATCAGCAGCCCCAATGCCGGCGTTCAGCGGCTGCCTGCCTTCCTGGACAACCACAACTATGCCAAGTCTCCAATGCAGGTAACGGCAGAAATAAAGGACCTGGCTTAGAATAAGGTTTTCGGGTTGTATTTAGTATATTCTGTTTGTTCATCAATTTTGGCTCTAAGAAATCTTTGTTTTGCGTCTATCGTTATATTTTACGACGGGCAAACCTGCTGCGGATAAAAGGTTCTGTAGTTTTACTGACGAACATCTGATTAACAGGAAGAGGAGGATCTTGCTGCTGCAGTTGGACGTTCGCGTGCGGCAGGGCTGCCCAAAGCGCAATACTCTGACGACGAAGACGATTACGAGGATGAGGAGGAGGAAGTAACTGGTTCTGCAAGCACATCCAGCAGGTTAGCATCGTAATATGTGTATATAGGTACAACTTCTCTCTTTGTTCAGGACCTGACCGAAGGAACGTAAAGCGATTTGCTTTTGACTTTCAACTTGTTGTCGTTTAGGTTTAGACGGAAGGCCAGTCTGCGATCGCGCCCAGTACGGGCAGTCACTGGAATGGAGAGCCAGATCGCCCTCACTGTGTTGGCTGAGAAACTGAAAAAAGAAGCCCAGAAGAAAGATGCCCTTAACACACCCCTTTCTGTACGCACAGAAGGGCGCACAGGAGGCATTTGCATCACATCTGCCTCACAGCCTTCCCCCACACCCAGCAACGAAAGCACCGACACGGCCTCCGAGATTGGCAGCGCCTTCAACTCCCCTCTACGCTCACCCGCACGCTCCCAGGCCGCCACTCGCCCGTCCAGTCCCGTTGCATCCCATCTGTCTCGTGTGCTGTTTGGAGAAGATGAGATGCTCAGGCTAGACTCCAGACACAACCGTGCCGTTAGAGAACTGGGTCCTTCTGTCAGTGCAGCCTTGTTGCACCTGCAGGAGGATGGAATCATCTTTGCTCTCCCCCCATCTGGTGAGTACAAGTGGTCGTTAGTCTGTGTTGTTCACACATTTTTTTTAAAATTTGCATGTTTGTCTTTTACTTGACAGTCAAAGCCTTTTAATCATCATAGAAAATGTACAGCCACTGACATTAGACCACATTTGTGAATTGATTTTCTGGCCCCTTTCGATAGATTGATACTTTATCTCTTCTCCATGCGGTAGATTTGGCAGCTGATGGCTCAAAGCGACCTTGCTCTCTGGAGGAGATAAAAGACGAAAAGGCAAACCTTTCAGCAGCGGAGAAGGAAGGCGTGAACGAGGGAGACGAGGGGCCGTCTGTGGAGAGGATAAAAGAGGAGCGCAATGAGGGCGCAGAGGTGAAGCCTAGCAAGGAAAAGCCCACCGCTACGGCAGACAGCAAGCCCCCTGGGGATAAGTACTCTCCCAAAGTAAGTCCAAGGATTTTCTCCCGTTCTAATGAACTGTAGTATGTGGCTCGCTATTTTTTTTTTGTATCAGTCTGCCAGATTGTGAACAACAAACACCACGAGCGGTTAATCTTATTCCTCTCTTGCAGGAGCTGCTTGCACTGCTTAAGTGTGTGGAGGCCGACATTGCCAATTATGAGGTGTATCTCAAGGAGGAAGTAGAAAAGAGAAAGAAATACAAAGTAGGTTTTGTTTACCTGGAACCAATGCAATTTTGGTGAGCGAAACGTTGTTTTTGTTGGCTTTTGATAAACAATTTGTTATCATGGATTTGATCAGATTGATGATCAGAGGAGGACCCATAATTACGACGAGTTCATCTGCACCTTCATATCTATGCTGGCCCAAGAAGGTAAATCTCATCCTCGTGAGGATTTCTCTTCTCCTAACTGTATCCCATTACCCTTTCCATTAAAAATCCTTTTAAAGTTCAAATTAAATTCCTGATGAATCATTCATATTGATGGATAATGTTGTAAGACTCTTTTAGGGGGACTGTTTCCCTCTTTTCCGGCTCAGCACATAAAATACAACAGACATGACATCACCATATGCACGGACATGTCACTCCTAAAAAGAAGACGTTAAAGACAAAAAATATAGCATTTGAATGACCACACATTTGCAAAGTCCTAATTACATGCTAAAATCGATTTGTTTTTTGTTGTTGTTATAATTTCTCCTCGCTCTGACTTTGTATCTTCTTCAGGTATGTTGGCCAGCCTTGTGGAACAAAACATTTCTGTGCGTCGTCGTCAGGGAGTGAGCATCGGCCGCTTGCACAAACAGAGGAAGCCTGATCGCAGGAAACGCTCCCGGCCGTATAAAGCCAAGCGGCAGTAACGTCAAACAATCACAACTTCTGTAAGAAACCGAGCAATCACCACAGGGAAAGATTTAATTCAATCAATCCTGAACCTCTCTCATAATGTCAGTCTAGGGTTGTATTTTAGTCTGAGTCTCCTCTCCTTTATGAGATCAACCATGTGCTTTGTTAGTTATTCTCATTTATGTAAATATGTATCACCATTTTATTCTCAATGTACATTTTCTTTCTTGTATCACTGCTATGACTGTTTGTAAATATGAAAAAAGACGTGTGCCCAATGTTGGGTTGAATATATTTTCCTCTGGGAAAGTATTCATTATTATCAACAGAGGTCCTTTACAGTTGTATGGTCAGTTTACTACGTCACTGAATATTCAATTTGGTAACAATTAGTCGATATTTCCTCAACTGCATCCCTGTGTTTTAATGGTGCCAATGAAGTATTGAGTGTTCTGACAAAAGAAGACCATCTGTTTTATTCCTCCCATAGCATTTCCGTTATAATCTGTTCAGTTTTCAATTTGTAACATGCAACAGCATCTTTTAATCGAATTCTTGAATGTTTTTTTCAACAATAGGTCACTCTGGCAAATAAAAAACAGTCTTATTTTTGTACTTGAAATAGATCCAAGTAATTGCATATTGGTTGGATGTGGGATCTTGTATGTTTTTGTACATATGTAACTGTTGATTGGCTGATTGGCCTGTGCACTGAGTTCAGTTGTTCTGTGTGCTTGCCAATTCATACTACAATAAACTCAATAAAATGTCTTGCTATAATCCAGATTACGTTCTTTATTATTATTATTTTTTTTATAGTGTGATTGGAATGGTTGATCCAGGATCAGTATTTCATATTGGCAGGGAATTTTATGTATGTCGGATTCCCCTCATAGTACAGTGTTTACAAATGTTTAGACATTCATGTTGCAAATCTTAATAGGTTAACAAGATTAGGTTCGTTAGATCTAATTGTGTTCTTGTAGTGACAGTTGACGTACACTAGGGAGAGCAATCATTCAGGAACCATTGGGACCATCTCAGAAAAATCTCCTCAGAGGTCTTCACAATAAAATGGACTATGGATTATGTTGTGCCACCATGGCTGAGCTGTATATCGATATTTTGTTGTCAAATCTATAACATATTTTTGATTCTCTCTTGCCATGAAGTTGTGAATTTAATTTAATTTGGTGAGTTTTACCACATGTTGGTGTGGTCCAGTACACACGAAGCGTGAGTAGGAGCTGAAAATATACCCCTCACCCACACAGTAGCACATGCTGTAGAGTTATGTCATCACAGTTTGCCTTTGGTTTGATTTGATTTAGAGAAACCGACCGAGATCTGATGCTGTACATAAGCTCTGCAGTTAGCAGTTATTTTTTTATTATTCGTTTGAACTTTTCACAATTAGTTGATTCATTTTTACCACATAAGAATTTATCTTTTGTAAAATACCAGTTTTTTATGAATTTCCTAAAGCCCCATAGCTGCTAAATAAGAGTCCAAACACAGAATTGTATTTTCTTTGATACTGTAAAGGACTAGAAAAACGGTAATGCATTCAAAAGCTGAAACGTAGATGTGTCTCTCCTTTAAGCATATGATTACCCGCATCGATTACCAATAGTTTTAGCTTTACAGGATATTGTAATTAATTGTAGTAAGCACCCATCATTTGCGGACATCTTTTATGCACAGAACAGAAATGCAAAATATATAAAAAAAACATTGCACCATTTCAAACAAATCATATCTGGTGTTATTCGTCATTCAGGTGAAAGCTAAAGGTCCACGAGGGAAGGACGCAGATTAAAACAGGGACGTCCCAGTGGTCTCCAGTCACGTGCCTCGAGGGCTCAGAGGTATTTGCGTGGCTGGTTGAGATAACCGAGCGTCGTGAACGCGCACGCACGAGCCACTCAAGTTCCCACCCATTGCGTCAGCGCGCTCCCTCGCCCTCTCCGTCAACGCGCCTGCTCCGTGCGGGGATGCTGAATTGTAGGCGATGATGGCGGAAGAGGAGCAGCGCTGAGTTTCATCTGAGTTTTTACCACAGCTGTAGAACCATCTACAACACCGTTTCTCTCCGTCGACACCTATACCGAGGCGATGGGGAACGAGGCCAGCATGGAAGGGGAGGGACAAGCGGGACAGCCCGGTGCCGCCGTCCCTCCGGCGGGGGCTCCGGCTTCCATTTCAGCACCGCCGGACTCTGGACAGCTCATCAAGCCCAGCAACGGAGCGCCGGCCGGAGGAAGTGGGGCTGGACCCGGGCCGGGGATTAACAGGTAGCCGCTCTAGCTAGGACGCTTCTCCGCCAAACTGTGTGTGTGTGGGGACGGGGACGGTTGTCGGGGGGGGGGGGGGCAGCGTGGCGTGTAGCCTCGCGGTACATCTGTACGACGTGACGCGTAGACGGGCTTTAGGATCAACCGACTGCGTGGAGGTAGATCTGAATGGGTGCTTAATTATTTATTTCAATATCCCTGTCAACACCATTCACCCCCCCCCTACCCTTCCTCCCTCACCCCCCTCTTTTTGGGACCCGGTCTTGAGTGCACCGCCCTTTTACTCAACGTCAATGTGGGTCGAAGTCAAACGTGAAATGCGATGTAAACGAGGGATCGATCAGATCCCGAACGCTTCGGTGGGGATTTCTACGTTTTTCACGGCGTGTTTCCTCGCGCATCGGTAGCTTAGTAACGCGAGTGAATGAGCGACATTTTCCTCTTCACGGCGAGCCAGCGGCGAGTAAACGTGAGCAGGTCTCACAGATATTAACGTCTCTCACAGCTTCAGGTGATAAATAAATTAGAAATGTAAATGATGCAAAGTGCACCGCGTCTCGCGTCGAACGGCTGCCTCGATTCCATTGCCAGGTTTTTCCTCTTTCTTTCTTTCTTTCTTTCTTTCTTTCCCGAACATGCCTCGACGTGAAAAGCCAGCGAACACAAAGTCATTGTATTAAATCACCTCGCTGCTGCTGTGACACGTTGTGCAGGGTGACAGCGGTCCCAGCAGACAGCGTCACTGTGAGCGCAGGACCGTGATGTGGCATCAAGCCGCCTCGCTCATCAGATCTCGAACCAAATCATTCTGCAGCTGGTGGAAAGGTTTTTTTTCCCACCTTCCACGCCAGTGAAGAGCACGGGAAAATGGAAGAGTGAATTTCTTCTGGAAGAGTGATGTTGCATCTCACCGTAAAATAATCCAGACACTGAGCCTAGACACATTAACATAACAGTAGCCTTACATAACAGTATTATATTATTATATGAAAACTCGATTGTTGTGCTATTAGAAGGCAAGATAATCAGATAAAATATCACCCCTTTACTAAATCCAGCCCAGGTCATTAGTGTTTAATCACATGTATAGCCTGTAGGCCTACGTCTGTGTGTGGGAGGGATTACCCATCCAACAAGATCTGATATTGCCTCAATTACACAGTTCAACAGATTGCAAACCTCCACACGCACACGCAGAGACACAGCTGTGACTTGGACGTGCCACACCTGCATACAGTCTCTGTGTCTTGCCAACCCAGGCCGTGTTTGTATGTTCATTCACGGTTCGTTTATCTCTAAAAGTCAAGTTGGTTCTTTAAAAATTGTGTCTTATTTGTGATTGTGAGGTGTATTGTGTCAAGCTTTATGAGCGAGTGCTTTTTTTCAAACAATGTAAATCAATAAGCAATATAATAATATAATCAATAAAATGAATCAAAAGTTCATTACAAACCTGAACAAAGCTATATTCATAACATCTATGAACTGACCAACCAACAGGGTGCCAACAGTATGCCCTTATAATTACTTTACCTATATGAAAGCACTGTTCACTGTGAAGCAACACACACACACACACACACACCAAAGGGGTTATCACAACTCAAACAAATAATGCAAAAGCGGGTCCTGCTAGAAATGAATTCCTACCTATGATTCATCGATGTTCATTCAGACGGTTTGAAAACTCTCTGAAGTTTCTGGAAATACCTTCAGAACAGAGGTTAGTGTTGTTAAACAGCCTTCTGTGTTTTTTTTTAAAGATCACCAGATACATATTCTTCGGAAATCAAATCTGTAGCTTCATGACTGAGCAATACATACGAGGCGTTCACTGGGGCTGTGGTGCAGCGCGCCATCCACCCGAATGACACCGAAACTACGACTGCCGAGCGAGGCACACGTTACCGTCTTTGGGATCATCGTTTGAGGGCCACTTGGCAAAGGCTTGTCCTTCACGAGACAAGTCCTTCTCTCACGGACGCACCGTAAGGTGGGGGCGATTTAACATTTCAGCAGTAAAGCTTCTGACCAACATGATGGGATACGGGTCTCTCCCTCGTCCATGTCTCGGCCACTCATCAATTCTTTTTTGAGAGTGGGCCAAGCTTGCCGGATACTAGATGATGAAAGGTCTGCAAATAATGGAAATAAGAAGCGCTATAACACCACTGCCCAACTCGTCAGAGACTGTAGTATTTAGTCTAATGGATATTAGGATAACGTTGACTTGGGTCTGTTTGTCACAGCTTCTGACATAAATCTGGCTTACTGAGGAAAAAGAGAGGTGGGTATGCAAGTGGGAACTATTTGCTGCTAAAAACATCCAACAAAACCGCTTCTTTACCTTTTTTTTCTTTACCATTTCACTTCCAAAAAGTCAGTCTGCAGTGACACCCCTGAAGCCCTGGGAAAACAGATTCATGTGGATTTATATTCATGCTCCACTTGATGCTTTTAAAATGCTTTTGGCCATCACAAACAAATGATGTATTCAAACATGTTACATTACATTACATTAGATTACATGTCATTTAGCTGACACTTTTATCCAAAGCGACAATAAGTGCATTCAACCATAGGGTACAAACTCAGAAGAACAAGAAACAAGAAAGTGCAATTTCCTCAAATAAGCCAATTTACAATCTGCTATAGATGAGTAGCCTTATAAGTACAATTTAAGTGCTACAATTTGTTAGTCTTTTAGTCGAGGTAGAGTCTGAAGAGGTGTGTCTTTGCGGTGGAAGATGTGAAGGCTCTCTGCGGTCCTGGTGTCTTCAGAGAGCTCGTTCCACCATTTCGGAGCAAGGACAGCAAAGTTAGCAAAGTTAAAGTGTCATGTATCCACTATCGCTTTGGTTTGGCCTTTAAATATGACTAAATGGATGACACAAGATAGACTTCACCGAGAAGCCCGAGGTAACCAGTCTCATTTCCAATTGACGGAGGCAAAGATCAATAAGGAGCATAAAGGATCTCCATCAAAGGGATACTGACACAGATGGTCTGTGTCCGGCTAAAATGAAGTACTACTTATTTTCTCCTCTTATAGGGGACATTTGACAAGTTAGATGTCAGTGTGAGGCAATGTTATCTAACGGATAATAAAACTAAACGATAGCATTGTAAAGTGAATAGATTTGAATTGTTTAGTTAACCCTTTCAAAGATATGCAATGAGTCGGCACCTTTTTGACTTAAGCTCTGCTAGACACTAGAAACAGGCGCAGACACTGAGCCGCTGAACCTACCGTTGATTAAAACATGGATTTGAAGATCAAAGTTGTTGAGTAAGGAACCAGAGAGGATATGATGCTTGGTCGGTATTCAGCAAAAAGGAAATAATTAATTTCTTCATTCATTTATTTAATCGACCAATCATTAGTATTTTTATCCATGTGTTGGAGTATCCTAGAACTACTCTGCACGCTTGTTGGTTCTCACCCTCCTGCCTGACAGTGGCAATAAAGTGTGTTGGAAACACAGCGTCCACTGCGCGCTCATCACCACACAGGTCAAGAATATATATCAAGAATATATACGCTGTCTTTTAAAGCTAGATTATAAGATTGGTACCACTCCTCTCATTCACCCTCTAAACAGAGAATGAGCTAAAAACTAAAATGAACCATTCCTTTGAGGGCCACTGGGAAGTTGTTCCGCAGGGAGCTCCCATTACAAAATAAATGCAGCTTACAAACCCTTCACTATCCAATTGGGATAAAGAAAGCAATTTGTACTGGTTTACGCTCAAATCCTCAAGCTGTTCTCAGTGGACTCCCATTATGGATGAGAGTATTTAAAACGGGTCGCTTTTTTCCAATAACACATCACAGGAGACTCAACTTCTTTGCCTTTGAAGGGTTGTTTAGTATGTAAAAGTATGTAAAACTAACGTCTATCTTGTTGGTTTCACAAACTGTATTTTTACTTGTCCTTCGCCGGAAGGATTCAGACTGCACCTTCATCCGTGGTCAGTAGCTTTAACAACATCATCATATCTCCAATTTAGCTTCAAACAGAGTGCGAGTGGTGACCATTACACTGGCAGGAGTGTGTTTGATTTCAAATTTAACAGCCAACTCACACAGGACTCCCGCGGCCGAGTGGAACGAGTTTTGCAGCGCCGCATTTTATGGGGCTAAAACTCATAAATGCTAACATGCTTTCTTTGAATTATGTTATTTGAATGTATTTATTGCTCCCTTTATCACCACGTTCTCTCACTGTGGATGTTGGAGGTGCTGCTGAGTCTTTGAAGAAGACAGACACGGTGAAAACGAGGTCTAAGTTGTTTTGACGGTGGAAATCCTGCACTCCTCATCGACTATCGGCACCGATCCCTGAGGGCCGGAATGAGCAAGAAAAGCAAAATTTTACAATGCTGTTGTTTGATTCACTACATTTGCTCCACTAAACACTTTGCTGAGGCCACAACAGAATAGCTTCAAAGATTGAAAAACCAGCCACGAGGAGCACTTCACAGAAACCCAGAGAGGCAATATAAAATATTCAACATATGCCTCTCTGTTGGCCAAGTACTCTGATATCACACTATGAACAACAATAACATCTTTTAATCACATGTGAACCTGAAGGCTTCCAAAATAAAAGAACGGCTGTGTCTTGTAATTAAATGGAGATCACCGGTGTTAAACCAGTGGGAGACTAATTGTTTCTGCTGGGACACAAATGTCGTCAGTGTTAACTACAGAGCGACGTAAATCACCAACGGCCATCCCACTTTGTGTTCTCTTCATCGTTTCTGCCAGACCGCCCCCCTCCGACCCGGGACCGAAAGCAGGAGTCCAGAGTGGTCATGGCACGGGGGACAGGTTGGCCTCCCACGAAACCCGACAGCACGCCGCGCCGCAAGCAGAGCAGGGCCACGTGTCCAGGAAGAGTCTGCACGTGGACGTGGGGAGCAGCAGGACTGGGCGGTCCCCCTCCGTGTCCCCGGACCGAGGCAGCGTCCCCAGCTCTCCTTACTCCGTGCCACAAATTGCACCCATGCCCAGCAGCAAACTGTGCCCCGTCTGCAAAACCACCGACCTGATGGGCACCGGGGACGACAAGCCCACCTTCAACACCTGCACGCAGTGCTGCTCCATGGTGTGCACACAGTGTGGTTTCAACCCCAACCCTCACCTCACCGAGGTAAGCGGCGCAATTTCAACAAAATCAGACTTGTTCCTTCACGATAGAGACATTTTTCTGTCCCTTGTAAAGCACAAAACGGGTAAAGAAAAAGAAGAAATAAAGGTGGTATAACAATTGACTGCATAAGCAGATTCAGACTGTATTCCAGCATGAAGTGTGATAGACGGCCCGAAGGCCAAAGCGAGGAGAGAGGCAGTCGTGTCGCCGTGTGGCGTTGGCTCACCAAGCCCATGATTCTCTGAATGAAAGGCATAGTCCATTCTAGATATTTTACAAACCGATCCGCGGACAACCCTCTTCAAAGGACAAATCCTGCTTCAGAATAGGATCAGCCGTCTTTATCTTTTCAGGTTTTATTTAGTAGAAATTATTTCCCCAATGTGGAGCTGTATATGAAAGAATATGTGCACATTGGTGGTGGTGGTTTAATTCTTGCAGTTTTTGTACAGAGGCTCCACCTATTTATGGCGGCTGGTGATGAGGGAGGTGCCATGGGAAAAAGTGACATCAGTGCAAACCATGTGCATCGCCTTCATAAAGCACATAACAGCTGCAATGCAAAGTCTCGTACAGGGACTGAACATTTGAAAATGTTTTTCAAAGTGGGTTTCTCAGGCACTTCCTCTTGGTCTAGTTTGATCCCATGGTAATTATTTCCCCTTGATATTTGTGAGAAATGTCGTTAGTGAGGACTATTGTTGTCAAGTTAGCTGTGATTGGCTGATACTGAGCAAGGCTGTGAATGAGTTGCCCGGCTGATTGAGAGTGCTGGACTCCCTTATTGTGCCGATTGTTTGCCTTGATTGATGAAGTGTTTTAATGATTAACAGGCTCGTGATCTTTCGTCCCCAAAGTCCTGCTTATCACATAAATCTGTGCCGAGTAACGTATTGGTCACTTCCCATTAGCTGTAATAAATGCCCTTATCTTAAACAAGTGCTATGTTCTCTCACAGCTGATGGTTATAGTAAGTGCACACAGCGCTATCCATCCTTTGTGACAGGCTCTAGTGAGCATCCAAATCATGCCCATGAGCCTCTCCCAGACGAAGCTTTTTAGAACGGCGCTGAACGCAGCACAACACCTCTCGCTCACCATCATTCATGTGGATCTAAACAGTCATCATTGTTAACAGGTAGCTGAGGAAGCCCATTGCCGTCATCCTAAAATAAATCACTTGCCTAATTTGAATTAGTCTATGCTTTGCTGTTACCGAGGTTCAAAGTGTGGCTGTGTCATTTGTCACAAAGTTTCACATCAACTCCAGTGAGTCATGTTGCAAATTGCGGCCAAGACGCAATGTCAGTTAAGTCGGCCCGCAGAGCCACTGCAGGCTGAATAAATAGGATTCAGGGAGTAAATGTTTCGTATTTTAACTGTAGATGCATGCATGCATGCACACAAATCTTGAACACGCTCATGAGCTCATATTTGTGGGTGTAAGACTGCAAAAATGGAAAGAGAAAGTAGTGGGAGATGGAAGGAGTAGGAAGAATTTGCTGGACCAAAATGGAGACAGACAGAAAAGAATAGATCAGGGCAGAGAGAGTAAAGGAGAGCACGGCAGGAAAGAGAACCGCGCAAGTGGATGTTATGGGTATTTTTCAGCTCAGCCTTGGTGAGCTTGTCAGATGCTGACAGGGAGAGAGACTCTGAGGGAAAGCGATCAGCCTCTGGAGACCTGAAAACGTACCCCCCCCCTCCCCACTCCCTCTAACCTGTTTAGCATGGATTGGGCTTTTGCCTCACTGCAGCAGATCTAACGCAGCCTCATCACTCATCAGAGAATTTGATGATGGCCACGTCGTTGCCGATCAAGGTGAAGATAACGATGAAGACAACGATGGCTGGAATTACCATCACCAGTGATGGAGAGGACCGACGTGGAGTGAAATGTTCCTCCTGAGCAGCAACAGATGTCGTCATGTCCGTGATAATGTAGAAAGAGTTTCAGGATTGTGTATGAATAGTTACCAGACACCGAACTGTCCAGGATTGTGAGGATATTATGAGTAATATCTGTTCACGGAAAGATGGCAGTGCGGATTACCGAGTGTTGGTAACCAAGGGCGATTTCGTATTTGGATAGTATAAATGATCCCTTTTCACTACAAAGACCTAAATGCTATCTCTGGCCTGGCGTCATCTTCTTCTCGTTTTTTTACATTCAGCAGGAGGCTGAGAGTCACTGTTCCTGCGAGATGATTTTAGGAATGATAAAAACCTTTTGAAAGATGGAGCTGTTTTTAACGACCCGGTGATTGGAATGAAATTCAGAGAGACGTAAACAGCAAGCAGCAAATTAATGTTATGTGCCAGAGTCTGTTAGCTGAGGTTCATTTAGAAGTTTCGGGCGAGAAGGTGCAAGCAATCATCCACGTCAGCTCGAACGCACGTATCATGTGCGCCTGATATTGAAAATATCGGTTGAAAGCAAGTAGTTATGAAGGCGGTGAAGAAAGAGAAATGGAAACAGAGTGAGAAGAAAGAAAGTCTTAGACAGACTTGGAGACAGAGAATAAAACTGAATAAGAATTAAGAGAGATAGTGAAAGTACCACAGACCCACTCTGACAGTATTCTCCCACCGTCAGACAGGGGAACATCTGCCTCATAATTGGTACAATTTTCTATTTATAGATCATTCTCTCCTTCTGTCTGCATCGATGGCCGGGTCCTGAGAAACCACAGCTGAGAGAAAGAGAGAGAGCGAGATCTGAGTGGTGGCAGGGGGAGAGAGAGCGGGAGAGAAAAACATCATTATAAATTAAGAGTGCACGCTCAGCAACACTACATTGATTCAGCTCCAATGAAATTGAAATAGAAATGAAAGGAAATTAATCAAAAAGTAACTTTTCTGAATGCAGTTTGGTGAGCTCCTTCGTGACGAGTTGGCCAAAACACTCTGGAGACGGGTGTGAAACTGTAGTGAAGAGCTTTTGTTACTCTTTTGCAAAAACAAGAGTGACTCTGAACTGCTTCTTTTTGTTTGAACCAACAATCCCACACACACTTTAAACAAATGCTCCCACACAAAAGACTGCAGGGGCACTTTTATACATCCCCTCATCCCCAGTTGAAATATAGTAGGTAGGAAGCCACAGCGGACAGTTGCAGCGCATTCACCCAGAGACCGAACAAGAAACGGACAGGTTGCCAGAAACACGACTCTCAAATGAATGTTTGTTTTTATTGCATTGGAGTGTTCAAGGTGCTGCTTTATTAAAGGTGACTTTTATGGCTAAATTGAAAACTTGTGTGTAGTGAAACAGTTTGACACAACAGCTCTCTTTTTGTAAAAGAGGACATTGACCTGTGACCAGCAGCTACCGTGAGTCCTTCTGTCGGCCAGCCAGTCGGGTGTTTCAGACCTTCCTTCCCGCACACGTGCGGCTGTGGGAAACAGACTTATAGTGAGACGGGTGTTTTATAGCTGACTCGCAGTTTAAAGTTCCTAAATTTCCTAATCCCAAGGCCCAAAATTGATTTTCTCAAGCTGCTACAGTAACATCAAACTGTGAGAACAAGCTATCCGTAGCGCCATGAGTGAAGATTCCGTTATTTTTTTACAACCGTTGGTTGTAAGCGTATCGAGTACATTATTGATCAATTATTGATTGTTTAAACTTTAACTCCTTCCGGCGTTTACCGCTGGCCTCAGAGCGAGAGCTCCTCGAGTTGTTTTAGAGCATTAATATTATTTCTATATCCAAACACAATTGAATTCAAACATTGTTCACGGTCTTATTTTTCTAAGACAGTCTACAAATGTTAATTAAAAAAATGAATACTATGTATAAACTAAAAGATGTGGTGGTTTCATCGAAGGATGAGTCCACTACATCTCAAGAGAGCCAGAGATTTGTTCTGTCTTTAATCCCCCTCTAACTTTCCATCATGGGGCTCGGGACATTCAATGTCGTTTATTTTAGGCAAAGTGGGAGACAATACGGTTGTTTTATGGATCTGTCAATGTTATTGTCTTGAGCTTTTGCTTTAGCAAAGGGCAGCACTTGTGGTCAACAGCATGCGATGCATGAAGAGAACCAGGATGTGATTTATAGACTTTAACTTGTTTCACACTATTCTAGCTTTAGTCCTCGGGGGGACGGATTCGGGAAAAATACCAGTTTCTCTGTGGTTGAGATTTCTGTTGTTTGTCTGTTTGTGATTTTAATTGCATTTTATGAATGAGTTTGATATTTTCTCAGTGGAAGTTTAATAGTTTAATTCTTGAGGCCAATTTCTAGTCGTCAAATGTTTAGCAGGAAAATGGGTTATTTCATTATTTGTAGGGACAAAGTTGGCTGTAGTTTATTTCTTGGTTTCCCAGCTACAGACCGAATCACAATGAATTAGCAACTCAGGCTGTGACACATAGAGATAACATGAATATGTTTGAGTTAAGATCAAAAGGTCTGACAGCATGCACATATTGGCAATTGTTATTGTTACTATTTGACTCGAAAAAAACATGTTTTGGAAATTAAATGTCAGATATCTTGGTAGGCTTGATACAAATTACAATGTTGGTTTTTAATAAATGTTATAATGCTATTTACAGAAAACTTTGAACTAAACATATACATAAAAATATATAAAATATATGTGAAAATGTGACTGTTGTTTTCCCACACGCACCAGGCTGTAATCACAGACTTGGGCTGTGGACAAAAAGGATGAACTAGGTCAGGTATCCAGCTGAGGCATATGCAGAATTATGCATATACCGAAATATTTTGTAATAAGAAGGGCCAGAGACTCAATCTGGGTCGCTGGTTTGATTGTTACCCCGTAACAAGCTGCATTTAAAGGCTCCCCCTGCTGTAGACAGTTGGGCTGCAACCGTCGCATCTCTACTATCTGTTTCAATTTAGAAGGTTGAGGAGGGTTTGACGTACAAAAACTTCACCAACATTTTCAATGATTATTTTCATCTTACATTAAAGTATACAGGTGTCTATTGTGTCCATCTTCTGATCTTTGTACCAACATATAATGTTATATAACACTACCTCTCTGCACAGCAGTTACACCGCAGCTCCATGCTGGGCCTAACACAGCACCAGTACAACAAACAGCATGAACAGAAATGTATCAGCGTTTTTTCCACAACCCTTCATAGATCTAATGGTCTAATTTATTTATTTTTATGAATGCAGTTCCTTGCTTGGCAATTTTTAAGGAGTAACTAATGTGTTTTATTGTGATTATACTTGTGTGTTTTTTATGAAGCATTGACCGGGAGAGCAGAGGCAGAAATTTTAATGTCTTACATTACATTACATTATATCCTGGCCCGATTTGCAAAAAATTGATAAAGCGCTGCATTCCAAGCGTGCTGATCGCTGAACTGCAGCGCTCAGCGGCTGCGTGTACTGCATGGTGATCGCTTCCTCCTCTGTATGCGTTGTGGTTTAGTCGCCGTTTGATTTGGGCTCAGATTGTTCTTAGGTCAGCTTTCCTGGGGAGCGATGGGGTGCATGATGCCTCACTCCTATCAACGAACTGGAGGAGAAAGAGTGGGTAACTGAGTGACGTGTGCAGCGCTACTTGTTCCAACGTCAGCGTGTGAAGCGATGATCCCTTCTGCTTCTCTCCGCAGTTATCGCTGTTTCGTCACAACTTATTTTATCATTTTGGGGTCTCAAAGATGTTGTTCAGGTCCGTGCTGGGAAAATACTCAATGTTTTACCTCCTCCATCAAATATTAAAAGACAGGATTGGAATCTGCTAATTCATTGAAGGGTTTTTTATTAAAATATTCAAGTCGAGAGACTACTGAGTCAAAGAGGTTTTCTGATGACGCGTGTATGCAAACAGTATTAACTTGCTGATATTTTGATCACTAAAAGAACACAAGAAGACCCTCGTGGATAACATTTATACATTTTGTGCTTTATTACTAGATATATAGAGGAAATAATCTCAATAAGAATTGATTTGAAACAAGAATCGTTAGTTATGTGACGGAGTATGTGTATCGTCTTACCCAAAGCTTGTGTGCGTGGTGCTAATAATGATCCATTGCTCTCACGATTTGATCCATGTCCAAGTATCGGTGGGCCCTTGCTGCTAAAAGGTTCTATTTCTGGCAGCAAGTTGTTGTTCTGCATAAAGCCACGTGGCTCCAGCATCCTGTTGGCAGGCGCTGAGTTTTCGCAGAACTGTGGGCGCTGGTCGCATCTTATGACCTTCGACGGGCATCATACTGTCGGACACACACACGCTTAGACTCAAACACACGCGCGCACACATCTAGTGAGCTTAGGCGGGAATTGGATCCACGTATGTAAACAAAGCCGGATGAGAGCCATCAAAGATGTATACAGTACTCAAGATGGAGACATCGTGGAGATGGAGGAGGAGAGTAACAGAGAGTGGTGTGATTCGAGAGATGCAGATAAGAAGGGGAAATAAAGATGGTTGAAGGAGAACAAGATGGAGGGTTTCGAACGAGAGTTAAAGGGAAGGAGGGCAGGAGACAGAGTGTGCAGTGTGCTGTTTTTTTGCTGATACAGATCAGATTTCATAAAGATCCACATGATTGCCTCATAAAAAGGGAGACCCAGCGAGGAAAGAGATGGAGAGAGGAGGCAGAGGCAGGCGGACACGATGGAATTGATAAATAGCTGCTTGCCCTCCCAGAAGCTGCTTTATTTTTTTCTTTCCCCCCTCAAAGGGGCTTGATATGATTATCCTAACTATAATTTGGTAGAAAGAAAAAAAAGCCAAAGACAATAATAGTTATAGAAAAAGGAGTTCCCGCTTGCGAGTCTCTGATTGAATGTAGAGTCCATTGTTGGAAGGCTGCGTGTCGCTCCAGTTTTATTTCACTTCCCATCTCACTCAGTCCATCTTCCATCTCACTCGGTCCGGAGGGTTCACCTCCGTTTCCGGCTTCTCGGCCAGATTGACAGTAAAAACTATGGCCTCATCTCGCCTTGTGATGAGGATTGGCAGAGAGCCATGCACAGGGCAGGGATGGTGCTGAGGCCGAGACTTACTCCGTCTGTACTGACCAACAGACTGACTGGCCGACTGAATGACTGACCAGGAGACAGACTGAGAAACACTGGAAGGCGCGAGGAGAGGTTGACATTTTAGAACAGTGAATGAAAGGCTGCAGAACAAATCAGGTTGGAATGAACAAGGAAGTGAAAGAAAGCTGCAGTTGGGTTTGGTCCTAATACAGTTAGGGGCTTTCATCGGGGTTAAGTAACTGTCCAAGCAGAGCTTTTTGTTAGAGCAAAAGTCAAAGCACAGCCCTGAGTCAGCATTTGGCATCATGTGCAGCAATGCTACACTGTATGTCCAGCGAATAAGACCACTGTAGCTAAACTATGAAGCGGCAACTACCGTGTTAGCTTTTAAAAAGTTTTAAAAGATAATATATAGAACAACGCTGCAGGCAGTCAACACTGTTTTCCAATTAAAACTTATGACGAAGTTGAAGGACAATGAGAAGTTACATGGAAATTGTTTGCATAAAATCCGCAAATAATCACAAATACCACTTTACGAAACATCTAGAGGAGCTGTGGCACACAGTACATGCGTGTATTGGGAATCGACACTATGTGGCCGCAGGCCTTTGATTCCATAGCAGAAGTTCAGAGATCTTGCTGCATTTTCACTCCTCGCTACGGCTGTTCCCAGAGTACTAAAACTTCTCAGCTGAAGCCAAATCAAAATCTTTATGAGTCCATCTTTACGGTCTACAAGGGGATTTTTACTCAAAAGGTACCAAGGAAAGTGCGTTCAGGGCCCCCACCTCGTCCTTTGAGCCCCGGACCTCCAACCCGGCCCCAACATTAACTCAACTTGCCTCTGACTGTATGTATAATGCATTATGGTATTATGTGATGACCACAAGTCCGAGACAGCTACTATGGTGTGGCAGCTGTCAAAGCAACAGGATGCCAATTACCACGTATGGCCATGTGTCATCACCAGGGCCTCTTTCTGACTTTGACCTTCTTGTGCGCCGATATGGAGCAGAAGATAGGAGAGGCAAAGTCGTAAAGGAAACCACAACAGCAGGAGGAACAAGACAAGAATGGTGGGAGGATTTTAATGAGAAATGTGGTGTATAGAGTGGCAAAGTAAATAAAAGGGAAAAGGGAAGAGACACTCAGAAAAGATGTGAGGGAAGATACTAAATCAGTGGCAGTCATTATTTATTGAAGTAGTCAAAAGCTCACTTAGTCTGTCACATTTATTTCCTACGCATTTGTTCATGCAGAGGCACGTGACGCTTAAATCCATCCTCAATGAGATATTTCACATCATTCACAACTATTCTTCTAATCTAATTCTAATCATTTCCCATACACAATGTTTCCACTCAGAGCAGGCTGGAGGCTATTTCAGCATGCATGTGATAAGTGGAAAGGAAAGCAGCCAAGTCCATCACATACACAGACAACACACTCATGTTCACATTCACACCCAAAGGCCATCAAGAGTGTTTAGTTCATGTTACTTGAATATCTTTGGACAGTGGAAAGAAAATAGAGCATCCATTAAAAACCCAGAGGGATGCAGGGAGGAGATTAAAACATGTGGTATCTTTTCATAGTATGGTATTTATTTTCTGCAGCCACTTTTTTTTATCCTCGACAATTATCAACATTTTATCAAAGGAAAAGCTCAGTCGAATAAATAATGAAAGTTTATATTTTTAATCTCTTCTTTTTTTTCTTCACAGGTTCAGGAGTGGCTCTGCTTGAACTGTCAGATGCAGAGAGCGTTGGGGATGGACATGACCACACCACGCTCCAAGAGTCAGCAACAGATACACTCTCCTTCTCATGCAGCCAAACCAGAACTTAAACCTGATGCTTCAAATCTGCCTGAAACCCAGACACATTCCCGTCCTCAAACCCAGCCTCCAGCGCAGGACCATCTAGGGCAGGCCCATCATCCAGGGCAGGCTCACCCTCCAGGTCAGGCTCACCCACCCGGGCAGGCTCACCCTCCAGGACAGGCACACCCACCAGGGCAGGCTCACCCACCCGGGCAGGCTCACCCTCCAGGGCAGGCCCATCATCCAGGACAGGCTCACCCTCCAGGGCAGGCTCACCCTCCAGGGCAGGCCCATCATCCAGGACAGACTCACCCACCAGGGCAGGCCCATCATCCAGGACAGGCTCACCCACCAGGGCAGGCCCATCATCCAGGACAGGCTCACCCTCCAGGGCAGGCCCATCATCCAGGACAGGCTCACCCTCCAGGGCAGGCCCATCATCCAGGGCAGGCTCATCATCCAGGGCAGGCTCACCCTCCAGGGCAGGCCCATTCATCACCTGGCTTTGTCAAACAAGCAGGTCCAGCTGGCCCAGGTCAGCAACAAATAAAGCTCCCTCCAGGGGCAGTTGCTCTCCCCGGCATGGCCAAAGCCCCTTCCCAGCCTGATCTGTCCCGCAACTCTCCTGCCCACCAACCCCAACCCCCCCGCCACGACCAGACTCGAAGTGCAGGGAGCTCTCCGTCGCGGCAGCCCCCACCTCCAGAGCAGACATTCGGGAAGCTGTTTGGCTTTGGTGCTTCTCTCCTCAACCAGGCCAGCACTCTTATATCTGAGACTACTCAACCACAACAACAGCCCCCCAAAACAGCCCCCAAACCAGTAGGACCCGTAGGTCCGGGTCCTGGGGCGGGTAAAGCCTCAGGAGCTCCGCCTGCACAGCAGGGGCCTCGAGCACATGCTCAACAGCAACAACAGAACGCCCCCATGGATTCCACCAAACCCAAAGCTTGTTGTCCTCTCTGCAAGACTGACCTCAACATCGGCAACACAGCGGAGCAACCCAACTACAACACCTGCACACAGTGCCACCATCAAGTGTGCAACATGTGTGGATTCAATCCCACGCCACACTTAGTCGAGGTAAGACTGATTCGATCTGAATGGCTGTAACAAGTGTCAACTGGCTTATGGCGGCCGAATCTGCTATATGAAATTATTTGTTGAGTGGTTTCCAGGAGAAATGCCATGTCGTGTTGCAGTTGAATGGCTTGTTTTGTTTTCTGTTTGTAGCTGCCGGTTCACGGAGTGAATAGCTGCAATTCACAGAGGATTCTTGTGCTTCGGCTGCTGTCCATTGGCCAACAATTGTCTCAGTTTTCTCTCTGAGGTTCTTCATGATGCTCATTTTGTATGTCAGTACTGGTTCTTGTTTCTTCTTATTTTTAATGAATAGTGTCTTATTGTTCGTCTCGTCCATTAATACAGAATGATCAACAAATGACCTTAAGATATGTCACGCAAAGGGCAGTGGAAGATTTCTGCACAAGGTTGATATTTGTATTTTCAAGCTGCAGGTTTCTGTATGCAGCTTGTACACAGCATGCTTTGTGTAAGATAATTCTCCTTCTCTCTCTCTCAGTGTTTCTCAGTTAGGACCTGCTCTGTTCTGCTCTGTCAGGGCCTTTCATGTAGTTAGCTGAGTGAAGTCCAGGCCGTGACTCACCTCATCAGTGGGCACTCTACCCTGGAGCTGCACAGAAATGTATGACCCATCTACAGAAAACGTGGCATAATCAGGTTCAATTAATGGTTAATCTTAGTATTGATTAGTCACAGTAGTTAGCTCAGGGGGACATTGTTTCCTGAAATTCGCCTTGGTCTCGTGTCATAGTGGGAATCCCGTTGGTAAGAGCAGAGACTTGCAGTAAGCCTGGCAGTCACAGAGCTGAATTATGCAAATCAAGTGCAATTGAATGATAGCAGTAATAACTGGCTTTCTGTACAGCGCTGGCTTTTTATGGGAAAGCCTTGTCTGCCCATGCATCCGGTTGTCACAGGCACTAGCACAGGCCATTCATATATCGCTATGGAAACAGAGAGATAATTTGTTTGTCAGGCGTCCCTTTCATGCTCGGCTGCTAAGATGCTGAGAGTCTACAAAAACTTTCAGACTGATGTTGATCTGTTTTTCGGGACAGACTGTGTTATTAGGTGTGATGTGTTTCTGCTCTGTTGGCTTCAGTCTCGGCCAAGCAATAGGTGCATTCTTTCCAAACCTGTGAACAGCTTTCGTTGTCATTCCATGTGAGCTGGCAGGTTGGTCGCTCCAGAGTGGGAGAGAACCATTTGGTCATGGTGAGAGGCTTTGTATTTTGAATCTTCGTTTCTCAGCTTGATTTTCAGAGACAGTTTTGCACATTTTTCCTTCTCATCCGCCTCCAACCCCCCCCCAAAGTTTTCTCATTGGATGCAGGCAGTTTTAATAACAGCTCCCTCACTGTTTTCATGATTGCGTGGTGACAAAGGCTGCAAGTGTATCATTACTGCTTGTCTCTCTGGTCTGATTTTCTGGTTGAAAAAAACAACAAAAAACCTTGGTCGAAGAACCATTTAATGACAACTGTTGAGTTACTAGACGAGGCTTAAGTGATATTTTATATTTTTGTTATTATCAACAAATCCTGAAAAGACCAAAACCAATAAAGAGACTGTCCTGCTCTTAATTCTTCCCTGACCGGTCTGTATCTCTCAGCCCATTGGTGAAGATGTACTGCGGATAAAAAAACAACATGAATAAAAGTACTTTTATCTGGTTAATATTTAGATTCATTTAAACACGAGCTACAGTTTTTGTGAAATGAGGGAACATGTCACCCAGTGCAACATTGGGGCTCATTTATGTGTTTTTGATGAGATTTTAGTTTTGATTGAGGAAAACTTAACAGCAGAAGATAACATAGATAATATTACTAGGGATATCAATAGATTCAAAACTATTAACTAATTAATCACACATTTTGAAATTAATTAATCGCGACTAATGAATAATGTTGTTACAACAATGTTGTTTATAATGAATGTTTTCTTCTAAATACTAAATCTTTATAAAGTGTGTATTTTAGACACTGTTGTTTAATGTTAATGTTATTTTAAACACAAAACTCCACACACTTGACCATCTTGGAGGCAGAATTCCACCACCAAGTAGTATAGCAGCTAGCTTAGCCTAGCAGCTAGCTTAGCCTAGCAGTGCTTTAAGTGTTCCGTTCGCTACTCACCCCCCTTCTGTTTGACACCTGGAGTAATTCCTCCGCTGTATGTCGCACATCTGTTTGTTTTACTTCTAATGCAAAAAGCTTCCTCCATCTTGATCTAACTGACTGCAGCTAGCGGTCAACATCCGGTTTACTTCTGGGACCGGCAGTAAACAAACGAACGTTAACTACGTTAACATATTTTGTTGCATTAATCTAGGCCACGTTATCGCATAGATGAAATATTACAATTACCAGACTTCTCCTATACGGCTTAATTGTTTCTGGATATATTTATTTAGAGCAAATACCTTCTAAATGACTTTTGCAAGGATTACATATGCCTATATATATCTTTCCAACGAGGCTTGTGTCTTCAGCTACAAGAAGTAACAATTTGCAGTAGCTCAATCCTCAGATCCTCACCTGGTAATGACTGCTTTGGAGAAGCTTCCGCTTCAAATCAACGACAAAAATGGGGAGAAAATCCAAATAAAAATGTACCAAGGGGATTAAAGCCATTTAGAATGCCCAGCTCGGCCTTTTTCAGGTTTTCTACTTATCATAGTGGACATGATGTTTTTTTTATACTGGCAAAAGAACATGCTGTATTATGGAAAAGGCAAAAAAGAAAAATCCACACATAGACCTCAATTAATTACAAATTCACTCTGAGCATGAGAAATACCCCCTATTGAGTCAACTAAAGCAGGACTTGCAATGGACATCCTGTAATGAAATTCTCTGTAACTGTACTTAAAGAGGATCCGTAGCTCTTGGATATCAAACAAACGCTGGAAATATTCATGCAAATACGTTTTCTGTCACCCACGACACACTGCATTATTCATTCAGAGCAAATAAGGCTGAGCTATATCATATTTAAAAAAATAGCCGGCCTCTTTTTAATGTGCGATACGATGACGAATGCCGCCGTCTGTGCGAGAACAAGTGGAAGAACGGAGGAGAGATGGGAAAGAGGTGATAGATTGAGAGGGAGGAGGAGGCAGAGAGAGCGAGAATCAGAGATAACGAGTGAGAGAAAGCCAACTGTTTGTTACGTTACACAATACTCCACACCAATTAGCGCTGAAAGTCATGTGTCGCTCTGAGTAAATATGATGTCCTCATTTTGGGGCTGTTTCCTCCCCCATTACGCTTCTGAAGGAGATTAAAACCAACCTTGTATCATTGTCGTCTCCCGAGAGAATGGTTTGCAAATAGAACATAAGATGTTTACACTCGAGTGTCTCCGGCTCAATTTGATTTACGGTCCGCTGCATGTCAGTCCTCCTCCATAAAATGTTAGTCTTACTCTCCTTCCACTCGCACAGGCTGCTCTGTGTGCCCGGAGACGGGCCTCAGCTTTTTTCTCCACAGTAAATATTGGTGCAGGTGTGTTGGACACACTGCATTCCCTCTCAGTTTCAAGCAGTTATACAAAAACATTATTTTTCCCATCTGCTAACCGGGTCGTTTCTGCGGCTGGTTTGGCGCACTGACTCAGTGTGACTATTATCGCGACATAGAACCGTCCCCTCTGTTTATAACGAAACAGAAGCCCTGAGTGGATCATTAGCAAACAGACTGAATTTCTGGGAAAAGTGTAGAGAAACAGAAAACATAGTTTATCAAATATTCAACCAGGGAGAACATTATGAATAGTTTATGCAGTGTGGAGCAGGGAGAGTGCTGTGTTTAAATGATCATGTCACACAAGGTCAGTGTCTGTTGTTGCCTGTGTGCATGTTGCATGCATGTGCATGAGAAAATAAATGTACACTAGCAGGTGTATCGTTTTACTGCAGGTGGGGATTTGTGTGAGGCTGAGCATCAGGAGCACGATGAATGGTTGATGTTAGAATCCTACATGATTTATTGCAGTATTACATTTGCTACTAAAACTCACAACAACTTACTCTTTCAGAACATACATTTAGTGTCTTATATATATATATATATATATATATATATATATATATATATATATATATATCTGCTCTGGCAACTCAGCAGTTTTATGCAATTAAAATGACTTTCAAACTTCTAAATTACTCTCTCTCTCATCGTCTGCAGTAGAATATTAAGGTGGATCAGGACCCAAGTGAAATATTTACGTATCAAGGTGATGTGTCGGCGAAATAAGGTTCACTTCTAGCATTTTCTGGCCATCTGGTCATTGCTCACAGAAGATTTGTTCTGCGAGAGACCACAGCGAGTGAAAATAAGATCACAGGATGCAGTAAACTGTGCGCTGAGCACACAATGAAGTGTTGATAATGAGACATTGCAACATGTAGCTTTTAAAAAACGTTGTTTTATGGTATAACGTTACACTGTACTAATGGAGGAAACTGTGAACTAAGTTGAAGAATCGCTTCCATCCAACAGCTACTTCACCGCTTCGCACTACATGTATAACATGTAGTATTTGCTTATAGATGAACGTGTCATTGTCCTTCTCAAACGTTCTGGAAGTGTTTTCTGAAGATTGGCACCAGCCTGTGTCTCCCTCAGGAGTCTCATCCAAAGCCAGATGGCTGCCGGCATCTGAGCCTGGCATGCTCAGCCTGGCTGCTCCCAAAGTGATGCTGGTACACCATCGCAGATTCAAACACCCACACGGCCCCGATCAGCTGCTTGCGCCCTTTTAATACTTCCATTTTCCCTATAGTGCTGTATGCACTGTGTGCTTGTGGAAGGCCACTGCACAAATAGTCTGAATCTGAATATTAATTCAGATCTGGACGCCCACATGTAACTTAGGCATGCTGTATATACCAAAATACACATATTCACGTCCAATGTGGCACAATACTAACAACTATCACTGTTGATCCTGAGATTAATATTAGAAAGTTTGCAATATTTGTCAGTTCAGTTTAA